GTTTTGATCAGAGACCTAAACGTCAAAGATGGAATGGACAACACAGGGTATGGAGATATCATGGGACGACATGGACTGACTAGAAGAAAGGGACGTAAATGGGTACAGATTTGCAAATCTGTACGCATTCAACAAAATGAATATAGGCAGCAAAATATTCACACACAAACACATACACTGGATTGCACTACACAGAACCAGGTCCATCATATTTTCATCACTAAAAAATTCAGAAGGTCAATAAAGGACGTGAGAACCAGGAGAGGAACTGACCTCGAAAAGGTGTTAAGACCTTAATAAAAATTAAGGATTTAGGCACATTGTTCTCTTGATAATGAGACGATGATTTATAGACGATCTTTGAACGACACTAAAGAGACCTTCAGAATGTCCAACTACATACTATGGCTAAATGACGGTTACAAACTAATGTGAGGAATTAGGAGTTATATTTCCAGTTAATAGTTAGGGTTAGGAATCAGATATAGGGTTTTCATTACAAACTGACATCAGCTATATTGCCAAAACTCTATTTAGACAAATGAATACATTGATTTCGCGCCAAAATCAAAGCTCTGTTGTGCTAAATCTGATTGGTTCGTCCATAAATTATAGTGTCGTCCATTTCAACAAGTTTCCGTTTCGTATTTCTTGACCGGTCCTGATGAAAACATATTGAGTGATCGTCATTTAGAAGTTAGCAGTTCAGTCAATCGACATCTAAATCATGTACATTCTTTTCCTTGCATATTGCCAGCAATTACGAGATTTCTGATTGGGACTTTTGTAACTTGTACAACGAAATGTTATGTGATTAATAGCTATAATGATGTATTAAAACAAATAAAATTAGATAGCTTGTTAAAATATCTAGATGATAGGAACATGAAGCCCAGATATTCAAACAGGTCGCCATAACATAAACAAACTCTGCGCTTCATGTTATTTTCGTAATAAGTCATTAAAACTACAATTACGAATATAATTTATCTGTAACTCAGATACATTAATAATTTAATATATTAAATTCGACTATGTGATGAACTGTATTTACTGTCTACTCTTATTGTCAATATTCACTTCCAATATTTTATTTCAAAGAAGATGGGTAGTTGCTAGCAGTGGAATCGAGGATGCGTGATACATTATATTTGGGACCAGTCAGCTGGATGTACCTGCATCTAATAATTGATGTTCACTCTGGTACTTGAACCCAGTACCATTCGCTTCAAACGCCAAAAGGTTATCCACTTGGCTACTGAGTCCTGATAGCCATTCTCTTGTGCAATGGGTGAAGTTATATTCACTTGGTGATGTTCACTCGTATCTTCTTATTGTTGTTTAAGACTGTAAATGATCGGTCTTTTATTAGTATATATGCATCCTATGCAGACTGTCTCGAAATTGCCTTAAGTCACAAGCAGTATAGGCGAAGATGGATGTTTATGGATTAAGGTAATATTGAGGCAATACTCACAGGATGCACATATACCAATCAGAGATTGATCAATTGCAGTCCTAATTATCAATAGGAAGATTCTAGTAAACAATATCAAGTGACTCAAGTGGCTCAGTATCCAGTCGGTTGAGCGTTCGCGCGCGAGACCGAAGGCCTTGGGTTCGAATCCCGTGAGCAGGATCGTGGATGCGCACTGCTGAGGAGTCCCACAATAAGAAGAAACGGCCGTCCAGTGATTCCAAAGGTGGTGGTCTAACATCAATCGGTTCATGATCTCAATCAAAAACTTAATAATCTCCACAACTCCTATACTAGTAATATCAAGTGAATTTAACATTTATAATAACTGAAATTATTGGCTAAGATATTCCAGGTGATATCGATTGAAATGTCGGCTTAATCTTATGTTTGTCTTTTTTACACAAAAAAGATAAATTCTTTACAATATATCTTTGTGTTTATATATTTGAATACATAGTCCAAGAGAAAATAGGACCAATGAAGGGACGGTAGGTTTAAAATACAATCAACCGTCTTATTCTTCAAATAGAATTTATCAGTAAAGTCGTGGCTGACATGGTATCACTAGATAGATAGATAATTATGTATGGATTGTCAGATGTTGATTGAGATCGTGAATCGATTGATGTTAAACTACCATTGAAAATCTGGAAACACTGAACAACCGTTTCGTCCTATCATGGGATTCCTCAGCCGTGTGCATTCACGACCTCGCTCGCAGGATTCGAACCCAGAGCCTTCAATCTCGTGCACGAACATATAACCTCTAGACTACTGAATCGGCTGTCATCTAACAATGTTAATGTCTATCCTCAACCAATACACGAAATTGATTATTGTACAGTGATAATTTCCGACTCCTTAATTAATTCATTTAACTAATCAATTTGAATTAGTTAAGAAGGTTAATCAATCATAATTCATAAAGAACATTACATTTGATTAAATTACCATATTCGATGAATATACCAAGATAAAATTAATAAAGATGAATTGTAAATTAGCTGAAATACTGATTGATATGAATCATAGTAAATAAGATTGAACATTGAATATATAATTCAATAAAACAAAATGAAATGATATTGAAAATAAAGAGTAAATTCAATTGAATTATTATAATCATATTAACTTATACCATCAATCATTGATCATGATCATTTTACTGATCTCAATTGGATAGTTTGTACTTACCAGTATCACTTATTTTAAAAGTCAATGTTTACATACATTTATCCTATGTCATGGTTGGATAACACGAACGTCAAGGCAGTTCTACTGTATGGAGCTGAAACTTGGAGAACTACAACAACCACCATCAAGAAGATACAAGTATTTATAAATAGCTGCCTACGCAAGATACTCAACATCCACTGGCCGGATACCATCAGCAATAACCTTCTGTGGGAGAGAACAAAGCAACTTCCAGCTGAAGAAGAAATTAGGAAAAGACGATGGAAATGGATAGGACATACATTACGCAAACCGTCAAACTGCATCACGAGGCAAGTCCTAACTTGGAACCCTGAAGGGAGGCGAAAAAGAGGAAGGCCAAAGAACACATTGCGTCGGATTATAGAAGCAGATATGAAAAGGATGAATTACAACTGGACGGAGCTAGAAAGGATTGCCCAGGACAGGGTTGGATGGAGAATGCTGGTGAGTGGCCTATGCTCCTTCACGAGGAGTAACAGGCGTAAGTAAGTAAGTAAGTAAGTAATGGTTGGATAACCTTTAACCTACTTCTCATTTATTCTTGTTCTAGACAATACTACACATTGAATTAAGCAGGGATTAACCGTAGATTAATAAGAAATGAACAGTATCTGTTACTCATTTATTTTAACCAGAGATTGATTACTGGTGTTTATTTTATCGTCAACCATTTAACATAAATCATAATTGAATTATGAGGAATTAAAATGGGATTCTTTATTAATTGTATGTATATAGTTATAATTAAATGGATTAGTCGTACGACTTTTTCTCTCTATATTTATGTAAGAACAAAACTGTAAAACAAAACTGTTCGGTTATTTACTTATTTCTTTAAAATAGTATAAATAATGAGAGTGAAAAAAAGAACCAGTATAGCAACTTTAGTTAAGTTATTTAATAGTTGAGTTCATGAGTTAATTGACAGTAGACTACCGTGGAAAATTTGGAAGTACTGGAAGGTCGTTTCGTCCTACTGTGGAACTTCTCAGCAGTGTGTATCCACGATCTCGTCCAATGGGATTTGAACCCAGGATCTATCAGCGAGTTTAAATTTAAAAAATATTATTCACTATGAGCTAATGGATACTGATTAGGTCAATATTTTCATTTATGTTTTTAATTATTTGGTAATTGGCAAAGAAAAGATTCCATAGTGTTATGCCCCGATAAGCATAATGAATGGTAACTGTTGGGATCTATTTATGAACCAATACTGAACGTATATTTTTGTCGTATAATTGTTATGTAACTAAGCTGTTCATATTCATGCCCCTCTTATTATGAACTTTATTTTGACCTATGAACTATTATTGTACGATTTACTATTCTTGAATTATGCCCTGTCTATCAATTACTATCTCCCTTATTCATAGCCACATTTGGCTAATTCTTGTACAAATGTTATTTTCTATTTTATGGCACGTTGTGGTCTGTCTTGTTGATATATAAACTCAGTGTGCTTGAAATATATGATTCATATAGAGGAGGCTGAGACTGATGTTGTGTACTTAACAGGCAGAACTAGGCAGGACCGATAAGTACTCTAGACTGCTCGTACGGGTATGGTACGATGAAGTCTGTTTGGCTTGTATATAAACCAATTGTTTGAAATCAATGGTTCGCATAATGGAAACTGTTATTGATGTTCTGAACTCAATCGGACGGGTAGGTGAACAAAGAATGAATAAGGACTGCTAGACTGCTGACACTGATCGAACGTCGTTGATTTAGCACAGTACTGAGATTGTATAAATTGTATTTCAATTGACGAATAAATCACATGACAACTAGTCATCCTTTAAAGACACAACAAATCATCAATATATATATACATTGATGTAATCATGATTGAAATTATTCACAATCATTTGTATTATAAATTTAAACTATATAGTGTGATATGGGCTACTTATATTGACATAAGTAGTAATATGACGTTAGTCGTGAACAGAAGGTCTGACAGCAGAGACACAAGAGGATCGAACAGTAAAGAATAGAAACAAGATGTAATTTGTATGACAATGCAAGAACAATGAAGTCTGAGTCATTTTGAGACAATTGGTGAACATTTTGCAAATTAAGCATTTACTTTATGATTGTTCGATTTTATTAACACGTCCTGTAATGCTGTGTCAAATGCATTCGATTGTTCCTCACTGGTGTTCTTGTTCACTACAATAGTTATAGAATAAGAGTGTTTATCTTTTTGTTTAAAAAAAAAGAAGATTTATCTCATCACATCTATTTTATCGTTTTTCTTTTTCTTTTTGTTGCTGTTGTTTTCTTTTTGTTTTTCTCTTAGATTTTAGCTTTATTATTATCATTAATTAGTATATTATTATTTATTGTTGGCTCAGTCAGTACATCATGGATTCATATTCATTTTAAATCAATTGGTTTATTTCAACAATGTGATAGTCTATTAAAACAATTCAATCACAATAATAATAATAATAATGATCAATTATTCATGAATACATATAATAATGAATTAAATGAGATTGAAAAAATTTGTCAATTTCGTGATTTTCTAAATGGTAAGTTGTTCTTCATGATAGTTGCTATTCAATAGAATCTTTAAATTTCATAATTATAGTTCATCTTGATAATCGTTATTAGATAATATCCACCCACCCACCCTAATGGTATCTGAATCAGATAGTGATTACAAAGTGATAATTACACTTATTATTGTACTATGCACAGATAACCAACATTTACAGGTACACTATGCAAGCATGAAAGAGTAGTGCCGAAAAGCAAGTAGACAAGCGAATCAGCATATGAGTCGAATGAGCGAGAGAGTTAATGAAAAAGATTAATACATAAACATAGGGAAATCACTGAATCATCGAATCAATTAAGCGACTAATAGTAAGGCTAGCAGAATGAATATATGCGTTGGCAGTAAGTAAGCAATTGGCCGGACATTATTAGCAACAACGTACTGTGGGAGAGAACAAACCAGATCCCAGCGGAGGAAAAATCAGGAAGAAGCGCTGGAAGTGGATAGGACAAACATTGAGGAAAGCACCGAACTGCGTCACAAGACAAGCCCTCACATGGAATCCTCAAGGCCAAAGGAAAAGAGTAAGACCAAATAACACATTACGCCGGGAAATGGAGATAGACATGCGAAAAATGAACATGAATTGAATGGAAATAGAAAAGAAGGCCCAGGACAGAGTGGATTGGAGAATGGTGGTCGGCGGCCTATGCTCCATTAGGAATAACAGGCGCAAGTAAGTAAGTAAGTAAGTAAGCAATGCTCAAGTGCACATATTCATACAAGTGTAACAATGATAATGATACAATCATATAGATAAGTTGTTATAGTACGAATGACTCTATTTCTCAAATAAGTGTTAACAAAAGGGCTTAACCGAATTAAATGTGAACAAACTCAATGACATATGAGCTGATATAAATTAATCATAATTGAATATTGTTCTGAATTTCAGGCTTTCTTATATCTCCAGCTTGATAAGATTACAAATTTATTTTACTCCTGTTATATCTAGAAACTTAGATTCTTAATATATCCCGTATAACTTGAGCTCTCGAACGTTATAACTCCTCCCAAAGTCATAAATAAGGAGATAGCAGAAAACTAGAGAAACTACTTTTTGGAAAAGAGTCAAAATGTACAGAAAACTATGAGTATTTATAGACATTAGAGTTTATTATATCAACATTATAATTCAACTTATCACTGAAGACGAATGTAGAGTATCACGTTGATATTCTAGAAAGTTCCATTGCTTTCTGATAGGATGGAACTCTTCAGCTTCTCTAGGGCCTTTGGAGGTACCGTCGTACTTCTCGTAAGTCATCCCAACAACTCCGATCTAATGGATGATATTCATCTCCATCAATCATACGATAACTGATAAATCCTAATACCTATTGGCTAGAAACGTTGCTCCTTTTCTCCCCCGATAACTAATGAGAAGAAAATGATAAATATATTATTATAATGATTTAAAAACTTACAGAATTATTTACACTAATTGGGTGAATAAATATGCACTATACATATGAAATCATAATTCGTTCACAACTAAGTTATAGGTACTACAAAACTGAACAATCAATGAATAATTGATAAACGGAAATCAATAAATTGATTTAAAGCTTGTAATTAAGATAGTATAAGGCGAGACTAGAATTTATGGACGAACCAATCAGATTTACAATAACAGGTCATAGATTTTAGCGCGAAATTCATTCATCAATATGGCTAAATAGAGTTTTGGCATTATAGCTGATTTTAGTTCGTGATCAAAACCATATATCTTATTCCTAACCTTAACCATCATCTATTCTTCAAACTGTTTCATAACCTTCATTGAGCCCTAGTAAGTAGATAGACACTTTCAAGGTCATTTTAGCGTCACTCAAAGGTCGTTCATAAATTATAGTTTAACCCAGCATGAAAGTACAACAAACAATTACACCATGAAAATAAATGAATAAATTCATTATATAACAATCTGAAAAGTTTCACTTTCTTCAAATATCCTCTTCAATCAAACAAATATTATTGAAGATGATTTGTGTGTTGTGTTATTATATTCAATCAGTCATTTAGAATCGATACTATTATCATTTGAATATTTCTAGGTTCTAATGTATGAAGAATCAAAACATTCAGTTAGTACGAAAGTAGAATTGAACATAGACTAGTTAAACCGGATAATTGATATACAAAATGACATCTTATCAATGAAAAGTAATTAAGGTAAATAAGAATAGAGGCAGGAATTTGATAAGAATATTTATACCAATGAAAGACAATGATATAAGTAAACAGTATACACAACACTTTACTAAGTATAATGCCCCCGAATGCCCTAGTATGGCCGAGAGTGGGATGGGCCCGCCCTCCCTCTCGAAACGCCCTCACACGGCCACGCGTATACAGCCTCTGCCAGGGAAGTCCTACTCATTGCCTTCTCGTGGCGGGGGTGCTGTTTACGAAAATGAGAGGATGAAAAGCAAATGTTCGGCTCTTTAACCGGATCCAAAACCAGTGGTGAACATGGGCTCCAGTATCCTGCGGGAACAAATGGCGTATGAACCAGTCGTTGTTCATCGGCTACCATAGGAATGCATCTCCTCACGATGTTCCACTGCCTTGTGGATCAGACCCTCAGATCAAAGGCTCGGGGTGCAGCCCCCCAAGAAAACTACCTTCTTCGGTCTAGGCACCCGGGCAATATCACAGCCCACACACACACAAATATGGTGTGGCGCATATATATTTGGTTCCCTGTTGCACCAATATTTATGTGTTGAAATAAAATAATAAAATAATAATAAATAAAATGGTCACTAGTAATCAATATGAATTATATGGCAATGTCACATTACAAATCTTATATGAGATCGAAATGTAGAAGGTTTCAACAGCAACAACAACAACAACAACAACAGCAAATCGTAAACGTACTGATATCGATCAACATTAACAGATATGACTGAATAAAGTTGCGTCATTGTCCGTGTTTACTTTATAATGACAAATGAATATTTGTCATTGTAACGATTATAATAATACCTCTATCCAGTCCCATATATTTAATCCAAGTAATGAGTTCTCAGCATAATATATTCAATATTGTAGTAGATTTACCGCTTTATATTCTCTTCAACTTATCATTATGTACAAAAAATTGGAAACAATTATGATTATTGCAGTTTATATAACTATTTATTTCTTTGTATAATATATTTGTATCAAAAGGGGTTTTTGTGGATATTATAGTAATTTCAAAAGTTGAGATCATGAGTCAATTTAAGGTAGACTACTATGGAGAACCTGAAAGCACTGGACCGCCGTGTCGTCCTAGTATGAGAATGTTCAGCAGTACGCATTCATGATCCCGCCTGACGAGATTTGAACCCAGGACCTGTCGGTTTTGCTGCTGAGAAGTCCCAAAATAGAATGAAATGATCATCCAGTGCTTCCAGGTTTTCCATGGTGGTCTAGCTCCAACTGACTCATAATCTTAATTATAATATATTTGTTACATGAAATTATCTTTTAAAAAAACGGTCTAGGAAAAAAACCATCCATCCAGTATGATAATCGTTCCAATGGAATTAACAACATCATTAAATTTTAAGTTTGTTACAAACTTGATTAAATATATATTAGATGACAGAAGAGATAAATTATATTAGGAAGGATGTTTGTCTGCAGATACATGTTTTATTCTATCTACTTCAGCTTGGATACTAATGACAATATCATTGTCCCTCACAAAAATAAATTTGTGGCTGAAGGATAAGAATGTACCAGTCTAATCATATTCATCTTGACTATAAGTAACATACGTCTAATCAAGCTTACTAGTATAGTTATATGTTGTTAAGTTTTCTAATATATTCGTTTAATTAAGACCAATACTGATCGGATTTGTATTATTATAATACAATGATCTGTATATGCTAATCTGTCAAACTAAATCTAATCAACACTCAATAGTGACTAAGGAAATTGTTAACTCTTATTGGTCAAGAAATCACATCTTCCTCTATCCCAATATTCAGTTCAAATATTCATAGGTTAATATACATGAATTATCTGAGTACATCACATCACATAGAAGAAGCCAGTTTATGTTCAATTAAGCCAAGAGTAATAGAAATTGAAACAAAATATAAATAACTAATCAACAATAATTTAGAATTATTGAAACATGTTGACGATTTGCACATTCAACGAATTTTTACAAATAGGTCGGTATAAAAATCTTGCGATAGTTTCTTATAGGTTTGAACAACATGTGACAAATGATCCAGTCTAATAGGCTTAATCATATGTTAATGGATTGTTGCTATTTCTTGATTTAAGCAAACCTAGCCTTCTTTTACTCTGGCATAATACTTACTTAGTAATCCCATATTAAAATTAAGAATAATTTTTCATTAAGTGACAGTTCCAGAAGTCATGACTTCTTCATTATTCTCTCCGTTATAATATATGCTGTAACAAATCTATATGACATGTAATGTACAAGCTCATAGTTGTATGAATTGATGTAAGGCCGAACAATCATGTAACAAGTAACCACAAACTTTTTATCTTATGTGTACATTTTTACATATGTATATCAATCTGCTTGTTAGTTTAACTATTTTATCGCATTAAGCTATTGATATATAACTATTTTGGGGATATACAAACACTGTGTTTACTCTTTCCTACGTAAGGACTATCGGTACAATGGGCAATATATAAATATTTCCCATAATAAACTTCCTCTCACCTTCTAGATTATACATGTTTAATCTGCTGGAATAATATGTTCGGAAGAGTATTTCAGCTTCTATTCCCTTTTACACCTTTTATAACTGTTGACTAAAAGAATTTATAGTATAGCGAACAAGAACACAAGTGGGAACAGCCGAATATATCACGGAACATCTCACTGAAATCTGAGAACTATACAGTAAATACTTCGTTTGTAAAATATCAATCTCCATTGTCTCAAACTTGAATGCTTCTTTTGTAAATATGGGTCCATCGTCTCAGATTTCATTGTTCTTGCATTTTAATACCAATTGCTTTCTGTTTCCGTTGTTTCATTCTCTATCTTCTACTGAAATACATTCTATCGTTGACTATCGTTATATACTACTTGTGTAGATATAAGTAGCTCACACCACAGTAGTTATACAAGTTTAATAGTGTTATAATATAAATTATGCTAATTCACATAATGAAAAACATTTGTTAAGAATCACCTTTATTGATATAAACGAAAACTGATACAAGTCATTTACAATATAAAATATCTGACGTATCATATGTACATATATCTGTTTCATTTCACTAATCAAGGAAAGCTTTTACTTACTTAATTACTAACGCCTGTTACTCTTATTGGAACAAAGGCCGCCGACCAGCATTCTCCAACCCACTTTGTCCTGGGCCTTCTTTTCTAGTTCAAATCAATCAAAGCTACTGTAGTGAACAAAAATACTAGTGGGGACAATCGAATCTATTTGACATAGCACTACAGGACTTGCTAATACAATCTAACAATCATAAAGTAAATGCTTAATTTGCAAAATGTTCATCAGTTGTCTCATAATGACTCAAACTTCATTGTTCTTGCATTTCCATGCAAATTGCATCCTGTTTCCATTCTTTACTGTTTGATCCTCTTATCTCTCTGTTCCCAGACCTTCTGTTCACGACTAACATCATATACTACTTATATCAATATAAGTAGTACACACCACACTATTATTATCTAAATACATCACATTACATCTAACTATAAAATGGTTAAATATCATGAAAAGTTTATATTTATCATTGTTACCAATTTAATATTATGAATTACATTCGTTGGATGGTATTCTGAAAAAATGTTATTTACATAGTAATCTACTAAATGTTGTTTCCTTTTTTTTAATTTTCTTTTAGTTAAAGTACTTATCATTATTATCTTAGATTTGATTGCTTTGATCTTAGCAATAATTGGAAGTTCTTTACTATTAAGTGGAATATTTTCATTGAATATTAAACGTAAACGTACATTTTATCATATATCAATTGTATTGCATATACTTTCATGTAAGTTCTTTAAAGATTAATTTAAGTATCATTTTCTTAAAAAATTTTCTTTCCTTTTGTTATTTTAATTGATTGAAAACAGCTAATCTGTTTTAAGATCATCAGTGTTTTTACTGTTTATTAGACTGAAATGATAAGTTGTAATATCAGAAGAGATTTTCTGTGAATATTATAGTAAATTTAATAGATAAGATCATAAGTCAATTGAAGCTAGATCACCCTGGAAATAATATCCACGAAAACCCTTAAAGATTTTAATCAACATATGCTCACTAGTTACTGGCTTCAAGATGTATTTCCTAGAGTTCTAGTGAGAAGCGGTGGGCAATGGAGTTCAACAGAGTCTATTGTGAGATAGTAACTCACTGAAGACAATGGTGGATGTGTTGCTGAATTTCGTGGATTAGTTGAAGTTAGACATTAACACTGTTGGATCCCAGCTCAGTTGTTTAGAGGTTAAGCGTTCGCCCGCGAGACTGATAATTCCTGTGTTTAAATTTCGAGAGGCGTTATTATGGGTGCGCACTGCTGAGGAGTCCCACAATAAGACGAAACGGCCGTCCAGTACTTCCGGATTTTCCATGGTAGTCTAACCTCAACTGACTCATGATCTCAACTAATAAGAAAAGTTGTAAGCTAATTATCACTAGTCCGCAGATTTTGTGAATTCGATCAAAATAACTGAAATACTGAATTAGTATTAGGTTTTCTTCATAAATAGATGTATGGCCTATTTAGTTTTAATTATTGAAAATTCGATTATATGATTTTTTGAAGTTCCAAGTTATAATTCCTTCATTCCTTCGCTAAGTCGTAATAATACTTAAAGTTTTAAATAAATTATCCAAATATCTAAAAAATTCAGGAAGTTTCTTAAGAGTTGAAATAATCAATAACTATGCAATAAGGTAAGAGAAGGTTGATACCAGTTAAGTAATAACGAATGATATCTTAAACTTATGACTTGCAAAGATCTTTAATTGTTCAATCTGAATTATAGTCCTGACAATAAATAATAGATTATTTCGGCACGACTAGATACAAAACAAGTAACAACTGCATATTAGTAATTATTTGTTTAATACCAAAAAGATGTATGAAAAGCATTACAAGTAATTAATTTCACACAATTGTTTAGCTTAGATAGTGTAACAAAACATAAATAACCGCGTCTACAGAATATGATAAACCTATAACATTTGATTATATCTCTTCAATCATATACTTCACATTTTTTTCATAGTCATCATCCAACCACATCACTGACCAATAATCCTAGTTCATCATATAAGGTTACTTTAATGATTAGGTAAGGTAAGTATGGGCAATACAGGAACCGAATCATAAAATGGTTCCTTTCTGTTCAGGCAAAAAAATACAATTCCTGAAAATTTTACAGATATATATCATAAATATTTTATTAGAAAGGCTGCATCACAGAAAAGTTTGGTTTGAACAGTTAACCAATCATATCATCGAAATATATCAGCCAATAAAAATTAAGAATAATAATAGCCAATCACTGTTTTCCATTATGTGTGTCAGTTGTAACTTGTTGACCAATAGGGTTACGAAAAAAAGTCGTATTCACTGTGTTATCTGACCAATAAAATCAAAAAATTTTTAATTTACTTGAACTAACAAATTAAATTTCAATCGTTGAGATCATGAGTCAATTAGAGCTAGATCACCATAGGAAACCTAGATGCACTGGACGGGCGTTTCGTCTTATTGTGGGACACGTTTTTAGTGCGCATCCACGATAACGCCTTTTGAGATTCGGATCCAGGACATATCAGTCTCGCGCATAACCTCTAAACCACTGAGCAGACATCAAACGATGTTAGTGTCTAACTTCAACTAATCCACGAAATTGAGCGACACATCCACCATTGTCTGTAGCAAACAAACTTGTAGTTAATTTACATCGGATAGTAATTAAATATTCTAGAAAAGGACTCAGAATAAAAACACATATTTGACGATACATTGAAAGTAATTAACAAAACAAATAAAAATAGTTTCTCGGTGACTTATATAAATAAATGCTTTTGAATAATACATTGAAACTAACTCTGATCACAAACTAATATTAACTGAAGGACCATTGTATACTGGATCGTTATTTTGTTGTTATTGAATAACGCCGTTAGATGCTGGCTCAGTGGTCTAGTTTGTTAAGCACTTGGCGCCTGGGTTCAAATCTCACGAGGCGGGGTTGCGGATACGCACTGCTGAGGAGTCCCAAAATAGGACGAAACGGCCATCCAGTACTTCCAAGTTTTCCATGATGGTCTAGCTTCAATTGACTCATGATCTCAACTATTGAAATTACTATAATCTACACACAAAACCGCTTCTGATGTTATTGAATATTTTAGAAATAGACACATCCATGATTATGACTTGTTTATTTTAAGATATTTGTTGAAGGTTTCGATATTCTAGGAGAATTGCAAGTAGCATAGGAGGTGTACCTTTAAAATCACTTATGTCCAACGTCAAAATACCAAACGAAATGTGTAGCATATTATTTAAATTTTGGTTTTGCTAATAATCTCAAGTTAACCAGCAAAGTAGTTGTTTGGAAATTAAACTAAATTACCGTATAATTTGTTACCTACTAATAATATTGAATGTAAAATAATACAATAGTTGATAAAATTTGAGATTTTCCACCAACGAACTATGATCTAGTTGTTTGAAACCATTACACATGCCAAGAGACACAAAATTAACGATTTATTTGGAAGTTGAGTGATTAGAATAAACTTACCTGAAGTTATGAATTGGAATGAAAGTTTTCATTCTCCATAATATAGTTTCATTATTTTTTCGAAATCTACTTTCAATTGGCCTCCAACCACACTTTACTTACTTACTATCCCAAAGCGAGCTGAATAGCAAATAGACGTATGTCCTACAACTCTTGGTGAGGTTGATAAGGCTATAGGCAATCTAAAGCGAAAGAGAGCAGCAGGGCCTGATGGACTAACCCCTTAGATTTTTAAGGACGATGGCCCAGTTCTAGCAGTTAGATTAACTGAGATCTTAGCTAAAATCTGGAAATCGCACGTAATTCAACGCAATCGGTTTCGGTCGCTGTTCGTTATTCTATAAGAAAGCACAAAAGTCATCTTATGGCAATCACAGAGTAAACAGTTTAGATAATTCAGTGTCGAAAATATTAGTTTCTATAGTACTTCCACATCTAACTAGAACTCTTGAAAAGCGAACCCGAGTAAACCAGGCTGGTTTAACTGTCATAGATATGCCTTTAGAAATAATATTATCATCGTTCGACTATTCAGGGGTTGATCTACCATAAGATTCCCTTACTCACTTGGAATGTCCACAAGATATAGTTGTGTTTGGTGAAGATGCTAGAAAAACTCAGTCTTCCGACCATCTTAAAACACAATGCAAGCATGTTTGAGATGCAGTCCTCTCCTGCCAAGTGCAAAATGTTGCTTCGCGATCGGCTTGCGTCATCACCCGGATTAATCACAATGAGTGGGGCAGCTAAACGCATCGTTCACTCCACTTATCTTGGGCGTCTCATCAATCATGATGATCTGATGACTGACGAAATCTTCACATACACTGACAGTCCGACTGGCTTTTACCAACATGCATCACTTGTGGTGCAGATGACATCCTTTTGCCAAACAAAGGACGGGTTTTCTGAGCAGCAGTTCAATCCGTTCGACTTCATGAGTGTGAAACATGACCATTAGTAATAGAGGATATTCGTAGGTTACTAGTATTCCATCATAGATGTCTTCGAAGCATTGTTCATGTGTGTTGAGATCACAGACTCAGTAATGCATGGATTAGGAATAGGCTGCCATCAGGTAGTGAATCTGTATCAACTGAGGTGGTTGGGACATTCGTTACGTAACCTTAACTACGGCCTACCTCAACGAGCGATGTTGTTTGGTGTAGAAACAGGCTGGAACAAAGCTAAGAGCGCCCAAACCCAAACACAACGTCAGTCCATGATGTCACTAACAGTCAGTCAGTTACAACATAGGACCAGGCACATATATGCACCGGTCGAAGTTGTCATACCACAGTAGCACAACAACATGAACACCGGATTCATAGAATCAGTTAACTCAATGGTGTAATATATAAAAGATCTTATGTAAGGATATAGTACAGAAGAAAAGAATTGGTTCGTAGAAAGAAAGATATAAAACGATTTTAATCTCATAGTTGGAGGGATGATAGAGGGTGTATACACCTACGCCATTGTGACCGATTTTGAGCCATGTCACCCAGAGTCTCCAACCATTGGTTACGATAGTCACGCGGACCTCAACCAAGTAGTCTGCATCTACCAACATGGCTAAGACTAGAAGTTAGTGATTACAAGCACTACAATTAAGCATTCTATCTAAATCTATACTCCTATTATCAAAAACGTATTTGTATGTAATAAATCAGGCTTTAACAGTTGAAGAACTTAGTTCATTTAATTAGAATGTATCTTGCGTGCGAGACTGATAGGTCCTGGGTTCGAATCCCGTGAGTGGGGTCGTGGATGCGCACTGCTGAGGAGTCCCACAAAAGGCCTTCCGTGGTGGTTTTTCACTAATTGACTCATGATCTCAACAATTAAAATTACTATAATATCCACAAAAACCCTTCTGATATTAATCAACATATGCTCATTAGTGACTATCTCCAAGATGTATTTCCTGTAGTTCTAGTTGGAAGCAGTAATCAGTGGAGTTCAACCGGATCAGTTGTGATATAATCTTATTATTATAGATTCTTTTTATTAATACTAAAATAGTTAAATATTTATTTATATAAAATTATTTAATTATGATTCAAACACTGAATTTCAATTTTGTTTTTTGTTTTAGGTATCACAATATTATCAGCATTAATTACCTTAGTGATTGAATGTATGAATGAAGCAAATCAGAATTCATCATCATCATTAGAGAATCAATCAACTATTACAGTTGGTTGGTCATTGATTATTGTTTGTTGTGGAATATTTATACTTGGTATATCAGTTTGTCTTGTTTTATTTGATAGAGGTGGTGAAGAAATTGAATATCGTGAAACAATTCATCGATCATCAAATTATATAGGAGATTCATAGAGAGATAGAAAGACAGAAGAAAAAAGAGTAATAACCAAGAAGGAAAAAGAAATGATATTGGAATGGGGATGGAGTAATTCAAGTTAATAAGCATCTAACTATCTATGGTGCATATAAATATTGATTTTTGATTTTCTGTAGACAAAACATGCACAAAACACATATACATACATTATAGATTTGTATGCACATATACACATATACGATGCCTTAATTTGTATTCAGATCATATTGAATTGGCCAATTAGTATCAAATGTTCTTTGTTTTTTTGAATATTCTATAGGGATTTCGAAACTGAAATTAGTCTCAGTTGACTATTTACATTCACCAATAGCATATCTGCTTGGTTTAAATGTGTTTGCGATTTTGTTGGCACAAGGAAAAGGAAAGAAACAAGAATTGTGAAATAAACTACATCTTCTTTAGCCTTTCCTTATATAAAAATTTATATTCTTAACATGATATAGAAAGGTTGAAGTGTAAGTAGGCTGACTGAATCATTTCTTGTGTTATTTAATAAAGATTTGCAATATGAGTTTTCTTTCGCTTACCCTCATCAACATATCAGGTGATAAGATGATGTTAGTCTCTCTGCCCCCCCAAGGCCGTTTATTCATGACTTGAACTTACTTATCACTAGCCTCAAAGTAGAACTGAACAACCGGTCGTGTCAAGGCTTTAAACTATATCGAGACAAATTCTCTCTTGTATATCAATCAGTGGATGGATTAAGAACGTAACAAGAAGCATTTAATTTGAAAGGTTACGCTAATACATGAGGACGGTGATCAATTAGTCATTGGTTAGTCAAACAGTTCCAGTTTGCATTTAAAATGATGTCATCTGTTACAATCAAACTAAGTTTATGATATTGAAACATGATATTAAGTTGAAACAACAAATCTTAAGATTATCATGAATAGGTATAACATATGGTAATCGTAAATAATTTTCGAAGTGTCTTTTCCAATTAGGTAATCGCCTTTTTTTAATATCTTCATCCTATATTACAATCCCCTCATAGGATTGACGATCAAATACAAAGTCCCGATGGATTAGACATTAGAAAACAAAATGATTCATTAACACATTATCCAATATATATTACCATGGATAGAAAAATGTAGATCTGTAAAATTACTACTGATTAACTTTAAAGCAATTAGTCCCTTTTATATTGTTATGACCTTGCGTCTCCCAATTATTTTGTTTTTGCCAAAATCCCCGTCGCCAGTTGTTATGACCTTGAACGTCTGACTTTTCGATCACACGATTTATCTACCAATCCGAATACGACTTATACGAATCTTCACACTAGGCCAACCAATGACGTTTAAGCGGTGTGGGCAGTTTAGTGTCCTTATTGGTCCTATGTCCTACGAGCCCTTCCACTTGAGTCCAGAACAAGATACCAGCTTCCGAATCAGAGCAGATCGTTTATTTCAGGCATATTTGGTTTATATATCAATCACACAGACCGCAACGTACCATAAAATAGGAAATAATATTTGTACACAAATAAGCCCAGAAAGTGGCTGTGAATGTGGGAGGCAGTAGTTAATAAACTGAACATAACTTAAGAACCGTAAACCGTACAATAATAAATTATAGGTCAAAATAAAGCTTATCATAAAAGGAATATAAATATACATAGTGTAATTGTTGAGTAGTTATACAATAAGAATATTTATAGAATATTAGTCCATGAATAGTCCTCGGAAGTTACCTGTAATTTAATCTCCACTCGGATATAACATATATAAAAATGCCTTGACAAGTACGTGTGACCAGATTGTTCGAAACGTATAGCGCAAATACATCACATTTTTCAGATAAACTCCGTCTTCTCATTGTTCTATCGAGATACTGATTAACTTACAAAATAACATGGAATAGTTGTTCAAGAATGAAAGTGGAATCACAATAAACAATCAACGAGTTATCATTGTTTCCAATCAAAGAATGTAAGTTTAAAATGTGCACGATTAGTTGAAAATGATAACACATTCGATTGCGAAATTCAAGAAACTACTCATGAGTAAGTATTTGCATGTTGAAACAAATGATTCACAAAAGATGGTACATAATCAGAAACCTGGTCTTTAGGTTGACAATCCATTTTTATCATTCACGATGCAGGAATTTTGTCGTAATCATTCCGAACGAGTTTCTATGGAGCCTGACTCAACAGCACTGGGTTTGAAAATTCGACGGGTTGTGCGAATTCGATTTCGTTTAGGATGAATATACCGATGGAACTAAATTAACTGATCCGACAACTGACATACTTGTGTAGTACGCTTTAGCGGTGATGAAATTCTATCACCTCGATATGTACATACTGGTTGAGTTGAATTTCATTTTTATTTATTTGAACACATAGATATTGGTACAAAGGGACACCAAATAGTAGTAAATGACAAAGGATCAGGGAGTTCTGCCAACTACCTCAAAAAAACCTGATATTTTAGTTGCTGTACTGCACGAAAATATACTTAATCAACTAACTTGATGACCACCTCAGAACAATTGATGCACAAAACGAAAGAGTATCATGCGAGTGGATTTCCAGAGATTGGTTCAAGAGTAGATACGAACTTGGACATTAACTCAGAGTAACGCATTCACTATCAGAAAATAGCTGTATGCTTACCAGATGTTGCTGATGTAAACATGTTACAAATGTCAAATATCCTATTTGTAGTTCACCCTACGAATGGGATAACAGAACTATCGGTCATAAAATATATGTAATTAGGTAGCACTACAATCTTCTATAAGATTACTATTATATTTAGAATCGATTTTTGGCTGGACTAAACTAGTCAATAGACTGTTGTACACGGCAAATCACTGAGGAATGTTACGACCAAACTTGAATATCGCATATTCAAAACCTATCTACGAAATACATTGCTTTGAAGTAGCAAATGCATCATCACTTGATTATAGATAAAGTGTAGAGATCAAAGGAATCACGAAGGTTTAACCGACAGTATCAACACATGAGTGCATGTTATGGGTGGAAGTTATTCTGATATCGGGAAACTGAGAAGTACATCATCTAAAGTTTAACATTAAAGTCGACTAGGATTCGGTTTTTGGAAAACATTTGAGTATTACACAGGCTTTAATATGAACGGAAATCGCGTCGTGATTTAAATACATTTTAAATAGCGAAGATTTGCAGATCTAGCAAGTTTTTGGTAGTTGCATTCTTCTGCACGAAGTGAGCACAATTACGTTCAAAACGACAATGAGAACTTCGGTACAAAACCACCTAACTCAGAGAAGATAGCAATCGAAAACATTCTGACGGATGTCGGTACATGAAGACTGAGGAACTTCTAAGGTCAGTGCATTAAAAATTTTTAGTCTTGTTAACAATAACAAAACTTAATTATTACAACGATCTGTTGGTATGAGTATATGCTGCCTCAATGACATACGCCGTGTTTTTTTACTTGACAAACAACCAACCAATAAACAAAATGAAATTGATTGTATACCTACCGACCACCTAAGAAAAACCCCTGGAATTTATAGAATGCTCATACTAGTTTACTGAACCATCCAGGTTTTCTACCCGTTCACACCAGACTCAGAAATAAACAGCTCTCTAAAAAGAAAACTCCGAAGACTAATCCTTAGATATTTCGGAGACGAATATGATAACTATAAAAAAACCGGACTATTTAGGACTTTTTTAACAAGTCTTTCTATTACTATGAAATGAAGTAATTAGTTCATAATCCGAAATTTAGAGCAATTTATGCTAATTAAAACCATTTACTAAACGGCAGTGTTAGTTTAATTTAAAGAAGTTGAGCTTACAATGGTGCAGTCCACCATATGACTTCAGCGGTTTCATGAAGCATGATTTCAATTTTATTATTACAGTAACCTGATGTCAACTGTTATGTTGGATGCCAACCAATCATACATTAACAGATAGAGGAGAATCTACAGCAAACATTTCGAATACGGCAATATGAAAACGCAAAGAGCCTAAAAGCAAACAACGTTACATCGCTAAAATAGAAACTAGTCATCCATGATATACAAGAGAGCAATAATCATAGGATGAGATTGTCAAACTAGGAGGAAGTTCCGGGAGAATAACACTACAAACTGACCTTTATACGATAACCTAAACGAATTTATTTCCTAGCAACTAACCAACTTTAAGTAGTATAACTAACAAAACAAATTTATCAGGTAAATGTAAACGACATATATCTGTAAATATATGTATATATCCTGTTTACAAGAATAACCAATCAAGTTAGCCGATGGGCAGAAGGGGAACGTGTACAACAATTATAAATGATGATAATGATAATATGTAAAACTGCAGATCAATTGTCAAATCATAGACAGACAAGAAGAATTATATGGGATTCTCAAGTTGAAAAATAGAGAAAGAACAATAAAATCACCACTAGTCAAGGCAATCAATCGGAAACACAAGCTATCGTGTTAACAATTTAATAGACAATGTATAACATGACAAGGATTCATAAGAAACACAGAATTTACAGTCAAACATTTAATTTAATAAAAACTCAAAGAGACATAAAATTGACACAAACAAAAAATCAAAAGAAAATATCCTGTTTATAGAAAAACTGGCCAAGACTACTACAGTTGATCTAAAAAAAAGGATGTGCATTTTAAGACAAGTATTGACCACTCTTCAATTGTAATGCGAAAAGACTACAGTATGATCATACGATATATAGTAAGGATGGAAGCACAAAACTCGGAAAATAATTCTCCACAATAAAAGTCAAAAAACACATTGTACGGATGATTTGTCAGTGAAGTCCGTCTGTAAAGAATGTAAGAAATGGTGGAAAAAGAAATAGATAACTTATTTGAAGTGGAATCACAAATATACATTGTACTAATAAGAAAAACTGAGGAAGTGAAACAACATTACACAATAAATTTATAACTATTTTCGTATTAAGCTAAAAATCAAATCTTTGCATCAATCAGCTACAACGTAGCACCAGGCACATATATGCACCGGTCGAAGTTGTCATACCACAGTAGCACAACAACATGAACACCGGATTCATAGAATCAATTAATTCAATGGTGTAATATATAAAAGATCTTATGTAAGAATATAGTACAGAAAGAAAGATATAAAACGATTTTAATCTTATAGTTGAAGAGATGATAGAGGGTGTATACACCTACGCCATTGTGATCGATTCTGAGCCATGTCACCAAGAGTCTCCAACCATTGGTTACGATAGTCACGCGGATCCCAACCAAGTAGTCTGCATCTACCAACATGGCTCAGACTAGAAATAAGTGACTTCAAGCACTAATGCCACGTTTTGGTTTGGCGACCCCCAACTATCTTCCCATAGTCTCCAAACACTGGTCAGAATTGCACGTCGTGGTAAACGGTTTTCAGGGCCAACTATTTCAGTCGATGGAGATTCACAACCTCATCGACTGATTTACTATCATTCCCTAATACCCTGCATCCAACCTTACCATTACTTACCACCACTCGGTGATCCCAGCAGATGCGAGCTATGTTTCTAAAACATCTGTGATCAAATACTAGTAACTTACTGGTATGATCAACCTTTAATGGCCATGTTCCGCAGCCGTAAAGCAAAATAAAACGAAATGTTTCTCAGCATACTCATCGTTTAATTGATAGACGGATATCTCGCCTTCGCCGCAGATGATCTAAGTTAGCAAAAGCCAAACAAACTTTCGTCAGACACCAACCCATAAGGGCTGACCGAACTTTCAAGATAAATGAAGTTGTTGATGCATGTCAGTCCTGAAGTAACAATTTACATTTAGATGGACAGGAACGCATCCTAAACAACCTGGCATTGTTGCTCAGTGTTATCAAAAGACTCTGCATTTTATCAACTTTTTCACCATCATCTGTGTATATTAAGTCAATAAGAGGACCTACTGGTAGATCCTTTCCAGAAAATTCAAACGATAAGAACGTTATTTCCATCAGTAAGTCTATGATGAAATTAAACAGAAATGGAGAAAGTGGACAGCTTTGCCGGACACCACTTGAGGTTGCAAAATCAGATGACAGTTCGCGATAAGTTGTTAGTGTTCCAGTAAAGAGCCTTCACAAGGTTTATGTACTTTTGAAGTACGTCTTTCAATGACAGACAATGTCAGAAAATGTGATTGCGTTACACTAACAATCAAGGCATTTCCCACTCGAAAAGGAAACAAAGATGATACATGTTGGATATAACTATGTTCGACCCAAAATCCTTACCTGGACGAGATGGATATTGGAACGGATTACTATAAAAACCTATAGGATTCAACTGATGTCCGATAGGAGGTGGAGTGGCTTGATTTGGTGGATGAGAAGCCCCACCGAATGGTGGACCATAAAGTCCATTTTGCGGATTAATTGGTCCAGTGATTGCTGCACGAGAAGTACCTCCAAACTGCTGAAGTGATACGCGTTGATGCGATGGTGAAATCGACGGATAAAAACTGGATGGCAACTGAAAGGACTGTTGTCCTTGCGCTGAGGGTGACTGTGGGAGGTTTGGATGGGGAATAAATTGTGATGTTGTAAACCTCTTTGTCGAACAGTAGCATTTGAATGGTCAGTACTGGGACGCCCTCCTCCAATTACGCCTACATAGTTAGGAGCATTGGCATAATTTGAGACAGAATTTGAAGTGATGGGCGTCGGGAAATGACAAGGTGTATTGTTGTATCCACCCTGAGGAACAGGGTGAGGTAATAAACCTCCACCGTTTCCAGGAGCTGGTCCGATCGCTGGGGCGAATGGTTGTCCAGCGGCTTGAAGGTTAGAAGTAGCAGAAGGGTTTCCAAGAAGAGAATACGAATTTACAGTCGTCGGAAATCCGATTGCATGTCTTCCTGAATTCTGTGGGTAATTAGACTGATGAATGGCTGAATACAAGCCAACAGAAGGAGGCGGTGGAATACAACCAGCAATAGACGGAGGGAAATTGTATTCATTCTGAAATTAAAATAAAACACTACAAATAAAAATCAAATCATTAGCGCACTTATAGATCAGAATGCTTAAATAAGTTATATTATTGTACTAGTTTTGATTGAAAATTTAATAATATTAGGGTTAAAATTCGTTGGTTCAACTAAAAGGGATAAGAACGAAATTGCTTACAAGACTGAACGCATAAACAGTAGTTGTTCACTCAGATGCTGACATAACCACAGGTAGAAGATAGCAATTTAGTGTGACAAAATGGATTTTGGTGTAAAACTGACAATAGATTATATCAGCACGAAACTTCGTTTATAAAATCATTTATGAATCATTAACATAAAGAAGGTTCAAAAGAGAAATAAACATACTTTTACGTCCGTGGGAAAACTCGAATACCCAGCAGTGAATGTGGATGGATCCATTTGATGTGGTACCTGTTGTCTGCATTTCCGAGCTTGGCTCATTTGTGACTGAATCGGAATTGACAAGGAATGGTGAAAAGAACGAGAAGGTGCCGGCTGAATTGCAGTTGACTGTGGATGGACATATAATGAAGGCGCTGCAGATACAAAATTCATTTGTTGAGACGGAACACATATGTTGTTTGATAATTTTCCTAATTCTGCAGAGTTATTTCCATATGGACCACTGGAGTATATGTTTACTCTATCTGCGGGTGTCAATATTGAGTTTTGATAAGACTGTATGTGCTGTTGCCTAGGTGTGATAGACATATTCGACTGCTTAGTCATACTATCCAATGATGGGACGGTATTATTGTGAGTTAAAACATTTGAAAGAATATTAGAACTCATTTGATTTTGAAAGTGTGGTTGATTAGAATTAGCATTATACGAACCTGTCATGCAATTAATATTCACATCCATACTTTGATCAGCTGTAGGCCAAACGTTACCGGAAAACATGTTGCTTTCATGACGATTTATAGGAACATTAGATAAAGAGAATGGTGTATATAGAGCATTTGAGGAAGACCAAGACTGAAAAGAATTACTGGATAAAGTTGTTAAATCTGAGATATGCGGTCTTAAAAGGGCATTAGAGCGTCCAATGTCACCACAGCATTCGAAGTCAGATCTTTCTGTTTCCCCTATCAAATCTGCAGTGGAGATATTCTCAATAATATTATTATTAGATGGGCTAAGAAGATTCAAGTGCATAGAAGTCGAAACAAGAGGCGAGATGGAAGTAACCTGAAGAAGCTGTTGTTGTTGAGGTTTGACCTTACAAATGTTATTAGAAATTTGAGATGACAATGTAGTTGAAGGACTAACAGTACATAGCGGACCAGCAGTAGGAACAACCGTACTCTGAACTGTACTACTAGCCAAGAGCAAAGTATTATTATTTGAATGATTTTTGTTAGCTTGAGGTATGCTATCACCTATCGACCATAACGATTGCATGGAAGCATAAGAGGAGTTCACCACTGAATCCGTGTTACTGGTTGTTGTAGCGGCTGTGTTGTCTAATAACTTTTTGTCTTCATTGGATTCCTCAGTAATTACGTGGTTTGAATGTTCTGATTGCCAGACTGAATTTGAATTGAGTAAAACTGACGATGTTTTTGTAGAGTCACCATGGTTTTCAGGTGGAGATTTCGCAAACTTTGTCCCAACAACTTTTGACCATGTACGAGTAGTTGAAAAAGAGATCTTCTGCAGCACAGATGATGTAGGTGTTGATGACAAACTGCTACTACAAAGAACTGGTTGGTTAGTTTGACCAGACAAAACAGAAGTTGTAACGGTGCATAGTGATGAAGTTGCGTCTAAACATAATGGTGGACCCATAAAACTTACTTTAGTTGGGAGAGACTTCTTTTTACCCGACAAACTTCTTAACAGCCCACTTGATTGACTTTTATGGTCACTTGTATGTACATAGTTTTGTGAAAGAGTGGTAGTTAAAGTTGAACCCTCTCTAGAATATACTTGGCTTACATTACCAACATTTCTAGAGGATATATTTGACTTTCTTGTGTTCAAGACACCAGAAACTGAAACTTCTTGCTGCATTCGTCGACGTGCAAATACTTGCTTGCTTTTGAGACAACTTTTGTAAACCCATCCCCATGTGGAGTATCTTCTTCAAAAATGTCTTGATTTAACTCATCGAACTCTTTACCTGATTGCGAGAACTTATCGGAATCATCCTTGAAGACTGTTTCTTTTTTCGCTCTGCACGACTAGTCCATGTAGACAAGGAATCCAAAGCATAAGAATTTTCGGGAAATGAGACATGAGGCTTAATAGACATTAAAGGAGGTATTGAGGATATATCATTTCTTTTGTGGTAAAAAGTGGTTCCACATCGAGAGGCACGTGTGGTACTACGGTAAGCGCTATGTTGGTTTGTGGAACTTCCACCTGATAATTGTGACTTTTCATTTTTCTGGACAGTTCCACTAATAACTGATGGGGAAGAAGAGACTTTAGAAAATTCTGTTTGTAAAGCAATCCCACCAGCAGCAGATCTTGAACTGGTACCTGGGGAAAAGTTAGTAAAAAATAATACCAACGCTTAGAACAGTTTAGACTTGTCATAAATAATTATTCAACATGAAGGTAACAAATGAGTTAATTAAGGAAACTTTATATAGTAATAATACGACAAAATATTCAAGAATATTAATAACCCATGAATACTGATTTTCACAAATGTCTTGATTATACAGGGAAAACTGTAAAAAATAATAAGAATTGTAAATAAGATTGCAAACATCCTAATCACATTACGATTTGACTCAATGTCAAACATACACCATCAAAACGACAGACATATCGACCTATTGTGATTAAGCAGTCAACAATGTGATTCTATCAGTTTGCATGCTAACTTTGATTACATGCAATTAGTACTAGCGTCTGAAAGGTAAAACGACGCTACTAAACAAGATTTAAAGTGTCTAAGAAGAACGTAGTATATCATGCACACCTACCCCCTTCTGTGTCATCATTGTCATGATGACGATGATTAATAGTTGCCTCAGCAACATGACAGCTGGATGGATTGCCTCTTGTAACTGTGGAAGATGATTTTGAAGTCTTTACATCATTTTTTAGGTGGGAAGAAGTAGATATTTCGGAAAAATCTTTTCGTTTGTTTGTATCTGACAGCGGCTTTGACGAGTTCTTAATAGTTTCAGAGGAAAATGACCCTTCAGATGCTGTTTCCCATTCATCAACATCATTTGTATCGCTAGTATTCCCGGTTACCACTGTAAAAGATGAATATATCGAACACTTAGCCAATAACAGATTTACGATCTGACCGAGTGAAAACAAATTTTAAAATCTAATGCTTAAGTGCTTCAAGATCTGACAAAAATTATCAATGATCGTTTCTCCGACTAAATTCATCACACCATACGGATGTATTAGACTCAATTCTTCTGAAAAATAATACTACGAAATGACAGGACAGATAGTGACGAGACCTGTTATCAGCGCTTCAGCAGCTCCCAGAATATGAAACCTTATAAACCATAGATCATATACATCGGTGTTGAAATGTTTTTGATAGTGCTGTGTTCTGTGAACTAGGTAATCCAATTGTATAGCTTTTATTGTATTTCTAAAGACAAAAAAGCGCCTACTGTATGTAAAACTGGATGAGTCTTAAAAACTTTAACTAACGGAATGAACAACAACCGAGTATAAACTATTGCAAAAAACTGTGAAATAAAGGTGTATTATCGAAAAAAGTGAAGGAAGTAACAACCATATTTGAATTCGATTGTTATTAAGCATAAAATGAATGGACTAGATGTAAAGAAACACTGAAATGGTAACTGGTACCTTGAACGCAGGCTTCAACAAAAATCATTCAGTGTTTTCATTGACCAATATATATATGATGAAAAAAATATCGTTCGTAAAGTAGAGTGACAGAAATTGTTTAAACCACTCTCAAACTAAGTGAAAATGGGTAAACATGTGAGAACTGTCCGAACTTCAATGCAATTGCAATAACTTCCAACAAAAATACACGGACCGTTACATCTCTACCTAAACTCACTGTAAAAATAACCAGCAGACATTTTACAAATACCAGTGGAGAACAAGAACAATAAATTTTATATGTAAATAAAACTTACCAACCGCTTGTCGCCGCCGCATAAGAGACCGTGAGTTCACATTATTTTCATCAAGCGGATCGTTAGCAGTATTTGAAACAACTTCACTATTGTTGCTTTGCTTTCCTTGATCAACGAAATCGACAGCAGAATCAGTATGACCACCATTACCACTACATTGATTGCCACCACGAGAATTACTATTTCCACCAGTTCCAGTCTTAAAAATAATGGAAGCAGATACACCACTAGATGTTCCAGACCGGCCTACACCGCCAGCAGCAGCACCTCCATCACCATCTTTTTCATCATTGTATCGATCCCGCATTTCTCGATAGCGACGAGTGGTATGAATAACAGAGCCGTTAAGACGTTTTGATTGATGATTTTGACCAGCACGACTACTTATGCGTTTGGATGTCCCTAAAACTTTGTGGGTGGCAAAACGATTAGTACGCGTTTTAGAGTACTGTGAGTTCATAATAACTGAATCTGAAGCGGGGACACGAACGGTGGGAACTTCAGGATCATCTATACCTTCTGTCCGATTATTAGTACTATCCAATATCAGTTTAGTTACCTAGTTTAACAGCGAAATGTGGTGAAATGTTATTAAAATACAATGATAAATGTAGGGTGAAACATAAATTCAAACGGTATGAAACACAATAACATTGTATTCCGTATAATTATACAGTGACATATTATAAGCAGTTATTTTTGGGCTATGAATACATGGCTTATTCACTCAGTGACAAAATGCTTTGCAGCAAGTTACTTAAATGTTCTTGCTTTAAAGTACAGATTGCTTAGCGCGCTTTCAACGTTTTAATGTATTAAATGTTATTGATTCGAAACACGAAATTGACTAATCTTGCAAATACTAACTTTAAGCATAAGGAAAAACATCTTTTAACATGGCGACCCCCGAATTCGTCCCAACGTTGGACCCAAATAGATCACATCGCTATCAGCCACCGATGGAGGGGCTCGATAGAAGACTGTCGCTCATTCTGGAGCACATGCCTAGATTCAGATCATGCTCTAGTGCGAGCGCGTATTTGCTTGCGTCTTACTGGACGTAGGAAAGACGCTGCAAGGAAACCTCTTAGGGCCTACTTAATGATAGTCAAGCTAAGAGTATATTTCAGGAACAACTAGGAAAACAGTTAGGCAGCCATGTATGTGATGCCCACCCCGATGCAGCATGGAATGATATCCGAAAAGCTGTGGAAACAGCAGTGATATCTGCTAGTAAGGTAAACCAGAAGGTTAGGGAGCAACACTGGATCTCAGCAGCATCTATCGCACTGATAGATGCTCGGAAACTCATTCCACCTGGCTCTGAACATAATGAAGAGCGGAGTCAGCTTAAGCGCAAGCTGACAAGAAGTCTACGCAATGATCGCGAACAGTGGTGGGTAGCGAAAGCAAGAGAGATGGAAAAGGCAGCGGCAATAGGTAATAGCAGACAATTGTTCAGACTCGTTAAGGAAACCGGAATTAGGAACCCGACCGTTAGCGAAACAATCTCAGAGAAAGATGGACATATTATTCATTCTCAATCCAGGAGATTGGATCGATGGGCAGAACACTTTAGGGATCAGTTCAACTGGCCTTCAGCCACACTTCGGTTTCCCACGATCTCCAGTCAACCTGAATGGCAAGTTAATGTAGGTCCTCCGTCCCTTTACGAAGTTGAAAAAGCCATAGGAAATCTGAAACGAGGGAGAGCAGCAGGCCCTGACAGGTTTACTCCTGAGATTTTTAAGGATGGTGGTCCAGTATTAGCAATGAGATTAACTGAGGTCTTAGGTAGAATTTGGGAACTGGACGTAATCCCATCTGACTGGTCTCAATCACTGATTGTGCCAGTCTATAAGAAAGGACAAAAGTCCTCTTGTGACAATCACAGAGGAATCAGTTTGACTAATATAGTGTCTAAAATATTAGCTTCAATAATACTTCGACGCCTAACAAAGCTCGTGAAGAGCAGACTAGAGAAAACCAGGCTGGTTTTCGACCTGGACGTGGTTGTATAGATCAGATATTCACACTACGTCAGGTTCTAGAACACAGACACACATTCAGACGCCCCACAATGGTAGTATTTCTCGACCTTAAGGCGGCATTCGACTCTGTTGATCGTGAGGTTCTATGGCAGTGTTTGTCACTGAAAGGAGTACCAAAGAAGTACATTAACCTTATAAAGGCTCTCTACTCGAACACAACTGGTCGAGTGAGAGCTTATGGCGAACTGTCATCAGAATTGATTACCTCAAGTGGTGTTCGTCAGGGCTGTCCACTCTCCCCATTCTTGTTCAACTTTGTGGTCGACGTACTTTTAGAGATAACACTCTCCTCATCTAAATTTCCAGGGGTTGAACTTCTACCGGGAGGTTCACTTGTTGACTTAGAATATGCTGATGACATAGTTTTATTTGGTGAAGACGCTGACAAAATGCAGAGTCTTCTGACCACTCTAAGCAACAATGCAAGCATGTTCGGGATGCGATTCTCTCCCTCGAAATGCAAAATGTTGCTTCAGGATTGGGTTACATCGACACCCGAACTAGTGATAGGGAGTGAAGTAGTTGAGTGTGTCGACCGCTTCACTTATCTTGGAAGTCTCATCAGCCCTTGTGGTTGGTGTGTGACGAAATCTCAGCACGGATACAGAAGGCTCGACTAGCTTTTGCCAACTTGCGTCATTTATGGCGTAGGCGAGATATCCGTCTATCAACCAAAGGACGGGTTTACTGCGCAGCAGTTCGTTCCGTCCTACTTTATGGCAGTGAAACATGGCCGGTAAGAGTAGAGGATATCCGTAGGTTACTAGTATTTGATCATAGGTGTCTTCGAAACATTGCTCGTATATCATGGGACCATCGAGTAAGTAACAGTTGTTAGGAAACGGGTACTAGGTAAGGATGGCAAATCAATTGATGACGTAGTGAAACTTCATCAGTTGAGATGGCTGGGACACGTGTTACGTATGCCCAACGACCGACTGCCTCGACGTGCTATGTTCAGTGGTATAGGAGTAGGTTGGAAGAAAGCTAGGGGCGGCCAAACCAAAACATGGCACAAGTCCATGAAGTCACTGACAAGTGAACTGAGTCATGTTGGTAGGTGTAGACTACCTGGTTGGGGACCGCGAGATGATAGCAACCGATGGTTAGAGACCCTGAATGACATGGCTCAAAATCGTTTGCAATGGCGCAGGTGCATCCACTCTCTGTGTTCTCCCAAATTCTAATCTTCTGAATCCTTCATGTCCCTTTTTTCCTCTTTCCAAATTTATTTCACTGGATTATACTCTTTAAATAACATCTCCAAACCCTAATCTTCCCGATTACTGCTTATACTCTTATTACCTCTACCACTACGGGATTTGAATCGACCACTGCATCTCTGTGCTAATGTGGTGTGGCAACTCGAACTGATGTACGTACGTACGAAGTTCTACGTTGTTACTGACTGACTGACTGACTGACAGCACAAAACGATATAACATTCTGAAGGATCATAAGGTGTGAAGTGGTGACGTTTTAGAGGCGAGAGATTACATCACTATGTTAAGAGATACGTAGGTAACTTTGCTTAGAAAAACGGAAAAATCTATATAAACACATGCTTGAAACCCAAGTAATTGTTTCGGCTTCCAGACAGGATGTTATCATATATCTTCTATTCTTCTATCCTAATTAATAATGTTATAAGACCAACACTCAGTGACTCATATCATACTTTTATAACAGGCAGAAAATCAACTCATACGGTGTTAAGTTCGTTTGATGCTCAGTGAACTACTGACAAGTGGACTGAGCCATGTTGGTAGGTGCAGACTATGTGGTTGGGGTTTGCGGTACAATAGCGACCAACGGTTAGAGACCTTGAATGGCATGGCTCAAAATCGTTTGCAATGGCACAGGTGCATTCACTCTTTGTGTTCTCCCAAACTCTAAGCTTTCAAATTCTTTATGTACCTCTTTTTTTCTCTTGCCAAATTTATTTCATTGGATCATATTCTTTGACTAACATCGACAATTGTATCTCTGTGCTAATGTGGTATGGCAACTCGAACTGATGTACGTACGTACGAAGTTCTACGTTGTTACTGACTGACAGTGAAATGCAAATAGATTAAATTTATTAGAGTAGTAAACCTACAAGATTTATATTGTCTAATCCTTTACGACATCCAATCATGTTATTGTTTATGTTAATACTTTGTACATTAGCATGCCTTTTTATTAGATGACAAACTCGCCTTAATCTTAGTTTATTCGAGGAGGGTCAGCAATCCAGTGTAGCGAATAGCCGTCACTTCAGCTAAGTCGTTTCTATCGACCAGCTGATTTAACCAATTCAAAATTCGTTCATTCAACAAGACGCCTACTTCACAACAGATCCTTAGTACTTCTGGTTATTAACGACTACACACTAACATTTGTGTATTCATGACAATTTTAGAATAAACTTACAAAGACTACGCTTTGAAAAAAATTACCTGTTCAGTATCAATATGTGGCTGAGTGTTTAACTCAGAGTTTGTGGTAGCATTTGTTGGGTTTTTCTGTATGTTTTATGGAAACGTCCACTGACAGCATAAACCTTCGCTTTACTATCAGGGTAATTAGTTGATCGACTGTGAGACTTATTTTCATCGTTGTCACTAGCAACATACTCATGAGAAAAATCAGTGGTACTTGAAAACTGTCCCTTATGACTGTAATACATCTTTTGTGGTCTCATCTGACGACCATTTGTACCGTAATATTGACTATCTAAATCCTTGTTCTGATCACGAGATGATTCATATTGTGCGTATGAACGAGTCATTCGACCACCAAAATATCCAGTAAAGCTGCCAGAAGTAATACTTCGAGAGGCTTCTGTTTAATTAAATGGAAATTAAAGGCTACTAATGTCAGAACATTTAAACTGTTATTGTTGCAAAAGAACGTCGCACGCACAAAATAATCAATAATCTATAGTAAGAATGATATCAGCTTACAAATAAGGTAGCTAGATTGGAAAGCATTCACTAGTTCTAGGTACTGTCAAACTGCATATACATATTTAAAAAGTAACAAAAACCTTGATTTTTAATGGCTCAGAAATGTTATAAATAACATTTCGATACATTAGCTGTGCAGTTAAGAAATAAAACGATGATGGAGATTGGAAATGTAATACCTTTATTACGATAGAAAAACATGAAATACACAGTACATACATACCTCTATATTAAAATTGAAAATAAACTGAGAAAAATGGACATGCTGAACTGAAATGCTTACACTGAGTGCGATTCTTCAACTACAAATTTTTCTACAGTAATACTCACAGAAAACAGAACTGATTGGAATAGTAGCATGTTGAAAATGGCAATGTAGTGCACATTTAAAGTTCGAGACGATTTAAACAAGATGATTGAACTAACAGAAAATGAGTATACGGGGAATAACTGGACGTAGATCAATAAGGTGTTTAAAATTTAAAATGTAAATCTACATTTGCATTTGTCGGATTACACTTACATTATACGGGTCACACATAAGGAAAACCCACTTAACTTGTTTGGATCATTTGAAATTTACTCTATAATAGTCTAACTCTAAACACCACATCTTTGTAGTGAGACCTTCCCAAACTTTTTGCTCTACTTCACCATCACGAATTTCGCGGTTTGACTACGATTTCAAAACAACCATGATTACATAATTTATCTTTTTATGTTGACTCCCAATGAGTATATCTTGATCATACACAAAAAATTTTTACATGTGTATACCACAGATTCAGCTATTTTCCAGGAGCATGGAGCGAATTATTCAGACACTTACCACTGCCTTGGCCAAAGAGAGCGAATACATATCACGTGTTTTCGCTCTAGTGACATACTCAAACATGATCTATTTCAAAAGTGATTTTAGTTCAAGTAAATACAACTAAAGGTATGTTTAGGAAATATATAGTTTGCTTTTAAAAGGTACTATATAAATAATGTCTGTAAATACATTTAGCTAAACAAAGATACACAGTGAATACAGTAAAAACGTTCAGAAGAGCTTACGACGCTCAGATGGTCTGTAAAGGATATCATCGTTACTATGATTCTTGCGCTGATCAATGCTCAATCCGACAGAATGACCTGTACGAACTCCTCTGGACCCAGAACCATAATGTTGACGCCAATAATAGTCTTGTTCAGAACCTTTTGAATAACGTCTCGAGTATGAAGAGAAATCATCTGTAGTATAACTCCTGCAATTTTATTCAAAAAAAGTTTACATTTTACATTGAGTATTATGAAAATTTCTGTTGACAACAATTAGCTGTTTGCCGAAATAAGGTTTATAAAACTGATAATTGTACAATAACATAGGAAGAAACTTAAAGGAATCTAACCAATAGATCATTTTAAGTGTTACACAAAATTAGCCATGCAGATAACAATGGTACCTCGTAGTAAAGTTTATAGAAAAAAGGCTATCAAGTCTGCTAAATACATTCCGGAACACACAAAACAAGTCGTCGTATGGCTAAAGCATTGAACGCTAATATTTATAAAGATAGAAAGAAAATATAATCCAGCAGAGTTAGATCAAAACTTAGTTAGAACTATTTCTCATGAACATTGCACTCAAATCATTTTATCAAGAAAATTATGTAATTCAAGTTACCTGGAACTTGTAAAATGACTATTTGTCCCGACACGACCACGTCGACCTCGTCTGTTGTATGATGTACTGAGATTTTTATTTCTATCGTTATTATCAGACACTCCAGCTTGATTTGGATGTGAGAATTTACTTGGGTGCTGACTCCTTTTTTTCCCAGACTGGTTATGGAATCGGTTATAACTCTTGTCATCTTCAGTACCATCACCTTCTTGAACGTCACTAAGGATACCGCATCCATTACTCTCACTTTCGCTAGACAACACAGAAGGTGAACTATTATTGTTCAGATCTGTACGCGTCCAACAACCATCGTCTGTTATATTTCGAACCTGCTTTCTGTATCTCATATGTTCGTCATCAGTCAATCCAGATTTGACCCGTGAATTCATATTATAGGCATCTATAACTGAATCATCAACGCTGCGTGACGGTTTCGAACGCCAGGATTTCGACGACTTTGAAACACTGTGTGAACGATGTGATACATCATAGTCATCTGCAGAATATTGTGGATCACATGGTTTGCGAAGATTCATAGATTCTAGAAATTTTTAAGAATGAGATAGTGCAAGTTATGCAAATGACAAAATATCTTTCAGTTTAAGAGACTTGAAGAGTAGAGACATCTACCACATAAAAAGATTTGCTGGGCCGGTGAATTATTTTAGTATTTACGGCCACTGAATTTATAGCTTCATGAAGACCTACAACCTAGAGAAATGAGAAAAAATCCCTAACAGAAGTTGATGTTCTGTCCGTCAGAACAAGAAAGAATTTCCTACTGGAAGTTCGGTACATCGGTACATTCTTTGTCTTTGCTGACGTATTGATTTTTAGAATTATATAATATACACTACCCCGTAAATCTCTTCCTTTTCCCCTAATTATATATCCTATGCTTAATTTCTTTACTATCACTGGTACTGTAATTACTTCAATCATTCAGAGATTTATCTTGATTAGTTCATTTCGCTGGGTTGATATCATCAATTTATTTAAATGTATAAATATGGGCACAGAGCGGCGACAAAATATATGTGCGTCACACAATAAGCAAATGAGAGTGCAAGAAGACAAAGGGAAGATAAATACAACAAGCATAAAAACAACTGAAATAAGTACTTGAGAATAAAAAAAACTATGGGAGAAGCAGTTAAGAAAAATACACCAAATAGGATTCTTTCAGTTAAAGTTTCTCTCAATTATGTTTTGGTGTGGTGTATTAAATTTTCGTCAAGTTCTACTCCGCTTCTTACGAACAGGTGTTATTTGCATCAAGCTTACAACTGAGTAACCATACTTCAATAGTTTTGTGGAGATCAGACCTAATTTCAGATGATTCTTCTCATAGAAGGAATAGGAATTCGACTAGAGATGTAAAGGTTCTTGTTTAGATTCCGAAGAGCTGCTGGTGTATACTGATGCGTTTCATGTATGGGCTTGGCAGCGGACAAGAGCTTCTCGGTTTTCAAAGGTCCATATGTGAAGTCCTGACGAAAATCACAACTGATCGATTTTCTGGAAGCAATGTAACACCAACTAGTCAGTTTATAAAGATTTTCTTGTTTTGAAATAAGTTTTCATAAATTTGAGTTATGAAAATACCATTTGAACGGAAGTGAACATGTGCATGTCGATGTCCTATATTTGGGAATCTTATAAACCTAGGATTCTACGAACGTCAAGACAGTTCTGCTGTACGGAGCTGAAACTTCGAGAACTACCACAAGCATCATCAAAGAAGTACAAGTAATTATAAGCAGCTGTCTACTCAAGATATTCAATGTCCGTTTGTTGGATACCATCAGCAACGATCTGCTGTGGGATTCAGCTTCTACCTGAATAAGAAGCTAGAAGCCGATGGAAGTGGATAGGATATACATTACGAAAATCATCGAACTGCATCACGAGACAAGCGCTAACTTGGAAACATGAATGAAAACGGAAAAAGGGAGGCCAAAACACACTGCCGAGAATTGAAAATAGGCATCAAAAGAATGAATAACACTTACGACCACTGGAAAGGAGAGACCACGACAGTTACCTGGGGAATCCTAGTCGACGGCCCATGCTTTACGAAGAATTAATGTACATCCACTTTTCTATCACCTCACTGGTTAAATATCGACGAACTGGATAGGTCAATATTGGGTAAGACGGATTTTGCTAGGCAACCTGTTTGAACCTATTATTTTTTACGTTTGACTGCTTTTTGACAGACTGATGTTGTCTTGAATATAAGCTTAACTGTAATTATTTTTGCGGTACAACTACATATATTATTTATTTATATTTCCGAGTAGCTTAGACAATCTTCTGAACTAAATTAAATCTCCAGTGTGTTATTCAAGTGAATTAGACATTTCGCCATCTGACGATAATTAAAGTTATCACTCAGTCATTTTGTCCAATTTATTTTCACATAAATCACAGGAACAATCTGGTTGACTAGTGAGAGATAATTCTTTTTCAATTATTTTACACAGACTATCTACATCCGTGAGTTGCGTACATGAGGTGATGTTCTTTGAAAACTCCATTCCAATTCCATAACACAATTATTTCTGCTGATATTCGATGCATAAAATAATGTCATAAATCTTTGATCTTACTGTTTCATATGGTTTTGAGTGATGTATATAAAATTAAGGTTTATCGTATTAACTTAACTAGAATTAACATATTTGATACATCATTTAATGGTGCAATCGTTCAGCTTTTGTAGTTATGTTAAATAAGAAATTCTGTCACATCAATTTTTCCTTATTATTGAATGGGTTTTTTACTTGATACCAGGTGGTTTGAGTAAATGTCATATTTTTATCGTAGGTGGAGTTAGAATGTGGATTTAGTAAAACAGAAGCGTAGTTTTCAACTGTAACTCCGTTTGGACTCACCGGTTTACCGCACTATTAGCTCCACATGAGGTAATTGATTTATGATAAGGAAAGCTTACACGTCATTCAAGCATCAACAGTTTTATAAAATTCATCTGCAAAACAAATTATTTCATAATCATTTACATTCTGCAACGTGTATTGATATATTAAAAACGGATACGATTATTCTTAATACATAATTCATTATAACCCTTAATTTTTCTTCAGGATCATTAAAGTGAACAGAATCAGTGAGTCTGGGATGTTGTGTAATTATACTTACAACCGAAACAGTTCGAAAATGAGTTTTCACTATGAAGAACAAAACATTATATTTATATGGCTGAAGACAGGTAACTTTTTAAAATTTAAAAGACAATGGTGCCAATATTTTCACGAAATACTTACTGAAGTCACTTGTCACAGCTTCGAAAAGATGGTTTTTGGTGGTTCCACGACCCTTAGCACTTCCTCTCTGAGGCTTGTATGACATCAAGCTCTTTCCACGACCCCGAGAACCACGGCTTACTGGATCCAGTAAGTGATCTTCCTTGTCCCAGAGATGAGCCAAGTGTTGAGATGATGCGCATGATACTTTAATATCCATCAAGCCAGGAACACGAGTGGTTCGTTGACTAGGAGAATTACTACTTGTTACAGTCGAGCTGGTAGTAACTACAGTAACATCCGATCTGCTGGATGATTGTGAAACCCTGTGAACTCGATGAGTTTTTTCGCATGATCCATCCGACTCTTTAACGTTTTGTGTACCGACAGTATCGTCAGGATTACCTGAAACTGGGGCTGTAGATGCATACTGGTTTCGTAGACATGAATCCACAGTACTAGTAGAAGACTGATCATGTCGCAGGGTAGATATCGCGACCTGAGCATTAGATTCTGAAGAGATCGTATTCTTGGGTGAACTAATAGGGGGCCCTTGAGGCCAATTCATCTGTGACTGATTGAAAATCTCGAGGAAACGTTCAACAGAGAAGTCTGGATTTAAAAACACACCTTGTGAATTCTGAGCAGATTTAGGTACTTGAGAATTACCCGCAGACATTTTAAGAGCATTCTGTAGTAACTGTGCCATAAGAGGCTGCTGAGAAAGCAATCGGACCATAGCGGCAGGCATTGAATTGTTAGAACCAAACTGAGATTGCCATGTGCCAGCAGTTGCTGTGTTTGAACTAACAGGCATTGGCACCTGTGTCTGAGAAATAATTGAGGAAACACTAAGAGGCATTTCAATTCTACTTCTTTCTGGGACCCCACTGTCTGCTCCACCTGTGTACGCTATGGCAGCAGCAGTCGCAGCGGCAATTGCGGCTGTTATATCTAGAGGTCCTGATGTTGGAAACGCAGGAAGCATATTATGAGGAGGAGCGCTAAGCATATGATTAACAGATGAATGGTCCCCCACTGGGAACAAGCAATTAGGACCAGCTTGGCATGCCGTAGTCGTGAAAGGCGTGGGAACAGATGGAAGTGATCTGTTTTCTGACATGCTGGGCAAGAGACCCAGAGCCGACTTAGGTAACATGTTATCACTTTCAGTTGAACAGCTTTCAGAAAGCTTTTGTCGTGCTCTTGCCTGTTGAGCTCTTTCAACTGCATTTTTAAATTCTTGGGTTCGTGCTTGCCTCTGAGCCTGTTGTAATTCGGCATCTACATCGGTTGCTGACCTTACAGAGTCAGTAATGCCACTTGCAATCGACACCGCCAAACGACTCTGAAGTGGATGTGTAGAGTAGAACGAATCTAAAAGAGAAGTTAGAAAACATAGTAGTGACTGGCTATCGAATTTTTTGGATTCTTGATAATGTAATGTGACACATCTTGTATATGACTGGTAACCTATTTCTATCGAAATTTTAATTAATCCTAAGAATCTGCATCGCTTCCCAAAAAATATAACCCTTCAAAACCTTTCGAGGTTAGAGCAGACGTAGATGATAAATACAAATTTGGTTTGGTACATCCATATATTTAGGATTTTGCACCTGGAATGCTTAGTTAAATTTCTTCGAATCGGACTGTTGACGAGAGAATGTTCACTATGTAAAAATTCATTAGCGCATCGTTCCACACTTTTACTTACCCCACATAAACATTACGTACTGAAAACAAATTTCAAAACTGTATTTTTCGAAAATTAAGGAAAAAAAGTTTAAACGATGTGCGTTTTCTAACAAAGATAACCAGTTACGTTTGACCGATTACGAGTATACTCGTCAATCGTTTCCAAAGGTTCAGTTAAATGAAAAAATATTACATTTCACTAGACCGAGAAGCGATGTAGACGACGTAAACAAGTTTATCGAATCTTTATGAACTCAGTCAGTCAGTCAGTCAGCTACAACGTAGGACCAGGCACATATGTGCATTGGTCCAGGTTGCCATACCGCATCAGCACAACAAGATGAACACCGGATTCATAGCAGTGGTTATGTCAAAGGTGGTAATATATAAGAGAAAGATTGCATATAGAGATATAATACAAGAAGAAAGAATTAGTTGGTAGAAAGAAAGAAAGATATGAAGCAATTTTAATCTCTTAGTTTAAGAGAAGACAGAGAGTGTATACACCTACGCCATTGTGACCGATTCTGAGCCATGTCACCAAGGGTCTCCAACCATTGGTTACGAAAGTCACGCGGACCCCAACCAAGTAGTCTGCATCTACCAACATGGCTCAGACTACAAGTTAGTGACTTCAAGCACTGATGCCACCTTCTTCCAACCATCTCCAACACCAGTCAGCATTGCACGTCGTGTTAATCGGTGTTCGGGCATACGTAACACGTGACCCAACCATCTCAGTCGATGAAGATCAACAAACTCATCAACTGATTTACCATCATTCCCTAATACCCTGCGTCTAACCTCAGTGTTTTGCGCACTAGAATCGTTGGCTACGGTGACACTTGAGGTGGAAGCCGAGAGAGGAAATATAGAGTTGAAAGTCGATGTAGGAGGAATAATAGGAATTGAAGAGGGAGGTTGATTATGAATACAGTGGTCTTGAGTGCTGTTAGAAGTATGAGGGCGGTTATCACTTCCCGGTTGCCCACACCGTGGAAGGGTTGTTCTGGAGGTACCTGAAAAGGAAATCGGATTAGAAGTGGTCTTAGTGACCTGGAAGCGTGACCGCAGTGCCCAAGGGACAACTGCTTGAGGCCGGTCGCGCAAGGCCTTTTCGTGGGAGGTTTTTGACGTGTTAGCTCCGTTCTTCAAAGGGCCTTACCGCCAGAGACGGAAATCCGTGAGGTAAGGTGAGGTGTGACATTTTTAGGGTCGACCTTTTCTAACCCCACCCCTCCTTGTGGGAAGGCAGCATCGCTGTCATCCTGGTTGTCTGAAGGAAACACCTTACTGCTGTCACACCTCTGTACAGTCAGCAGTACGACTTTGCCTTCGGACCTTGGGTTTGTTGCTTTTAGTCTTACCGCTCACCTGTCTGACATGGTAGGACCTTGAGGAACGGTTGTTCCAGCCAGTATAGCTCGGTTGCTTCATCACGATAGGCAAGCCTGACCACCACGTCAAGGTAGCAACAACGGCAATAAAAAAAAACTAATCAACTCATTAACCAGGTACTTGTGAATGACCCACACTCAGTAAGGACTGATAGCATTACCCAGTCACCTGAAACAGCAAGTAGAGTGGGGTTCGAACCTGGGGCTTGATGGTTATCAGTCGGATGTTTTAGCCACTCAGCCACAGCTCCCGAACTAAACAGCAACGGAGACCAGTTTAGCAGAGTGTAGTAATTTTTATCAACGACAACCAAGAAAAAACGCATTAGCTTCAACAAGATATTCAGAATGAATCAGGTGGTACTCAGAGTATATGGTTGTAAATTACTAAAGAAAAATGCAATATTTAGTAGGACTCAGGACAAGAGGGTCGTAAATTGTTTTTATTTGAAGGTTTATAAACTAGTGCCAAAGTACCTAGTTAAGCATAGATAAATAAACTACGTTAGTGTTTTCTGAGTTTGATGTCAAAACTAGAATGTTGTGTTACTGATACAAGGAAATTTAAACATACCTATAACGCCTGGAGATGTAACATGGTTCATAAACTGTCCACTTGGTAATGAACGGTTAGCATCAGAAGTAATCCCACAAGTATTTATCGACGCAATGCTGTAAGGAAGATTAATTGGTGGAGGTCCAGGGTGGCTGACTGAACAGTTTCGAGTGTATGAAACATCCGCAGCGGACCAAGCGTTTGATGTCATTAAATTAGAGCCGTACATATTTTGAGATACCGTCGATTGTGACTGGATGACGCAAGCTCCTTGTAAATTAGTCGACGGGTTGACAAAGGGTTTCATAGGCATAGCATGCAAACTGGTCTTAACAGTATTAGGAGGTGAGATCGAAAACTGTGCAGGTTGTTCTGATATGTTTGTCGTTGTGGTCGATCTGATGGATTTTACTTCATACTCTTCATCATCACTAAAAATTATGCGTTCATCGAAGTCAGGTTCATCTTGGCCAATAGCAACCCAGCCAGAAGGTTCCCCAACTATTTCGCGAGCGCCCCCATCAACCTTGGTAGGAATTTCAGATTTAGATGTCGTAGTTGTAGTACTAGAAGTGGTTACAATCTAGAACGATAAAAACAGCAGTATGTGCAAAACTAGTGACTTGCATGCGGTCAGTTTAATTAATAGATACGCGTTTTCTATAACAATTACGACCAATTATCCAAGGCTCAACAGACTACTGTTTTGGTTCATATTCGTTAAAATGTTCATCATGTTGAATATTTGAATTTTAAACACTATTAGGAATGGTCCCATGAGTCTGATTAGCAAAAGTTATTTAATGCTCATTGATTTAGAAATATAGAAACACTCTATGAATAGTATTCCTATATAATCAGCGTCACAATTAATAAGATCCTCAGCTAAAATTTTATCAAAATTTGCCTTCAGATGAAAATGAAGAAAACATGTGTTTTGTATATTGGACTGAAAAATAAAATCTGAAACTACAGCTTACCGGAGTTGGTCTCTGGAAGAATGGTTTGTTAGCTGCCAATCCTCCGCTAGATCCTGGCTTATCACTCGGTAGTTTCAGCGGTTGACTGGATACTTTATCTTTTACTGGATCTTGAGTTTTATCTGTCTTAACAGAGCCGTTCACACCGACTGAAGTATCTGCCATAAGTAAATGTGATATATTATTACTCACTAGCTAACATAGAAACTAAAAGCAAGAAACTTCAGTCTTTTGGAACAACTAAGATATTTGATTCATAAATTTATGTAATATCTACTTTATTAAACTAGTTAAGTCTGTGGGTCACAAAATCTTTCACAAAGCGGAAAACAATAAGAACATTTGACAACCAAGGTTGACAAGCATGAGTTCAGTTGCGATCTGAAGAATGCTGTTACCCATGACAAGTGAAAAGTTTGTTTGAATGAATGATTCTATAAAAAGTTTTCTTAGAGGCATACTTTATGCTTGTGTATATTCTTTGCTGTGAAGATAAAGCTATCCATTGATTAATACATCACGGCGAACATTATCACTTCAACAATCAGTTCGGTCAACCAAGTGAATGAGGTTTGCAGATGAACCTTGACGACCTTGGCTTACACTCACGAAAATTAAATGTAAATTAACAATCATATTAAAATGCATCGGGGACACCTTTCATCGAGAAATAACATGACTGTTTTACGTAGTAGGTGATGTGAAACTGTTGCCAAGTTATAGAGCTTGATTAAACTATTTTGCTTCTATACATGGTAATCAAGATTGACAGATTTAATGTCCGGAACTCTATCCAGGTTTGCATCATTGTGAGAGACATGCTAAAAACCAACATTAAACATCATATCCTGATGTTAATGAAATGATTGGCAACTATCGATCTGAAAATCTACGTGATATGCTTGTTCTGGGACTCCATAGTGTAGTAAATTGGGTTTGGTGCTAAAGCTGAACCCGATTGAAACCCGGTTAACACTCGAATGCAAGCATACTAGCATAAAAGCGGTTCCTTACGGTTTTTCCCCTTCTTATTCTTTTCACATTATAGACCCTGGAAGATCAGCAAACCAATTCAGACACCCAAACTGAAGGAGGGGAATAATTTGATAAAAATATCTATGAGCTCTAATGTAATAGCCTAATCAATAAAACCAGTTGCTTCCCTATGACTGCTAGTGAGTGGGCCAGACCGATGTATAAAATAACTTATTTCTGACTAATTATTCCCATTCGTTAAACTCCAATATCCACAGGACTGGTTCCAAAGCGAGAAATGTGCTACCTTGGTTGAAAGCATGTTAACCAAGGGAAGGAAAGGAAAATAACTGCATGGATAATTTTTACAGAACATATGTAGAGACCGTGAAACCTCGGTTAGGATGCGTATCCGAGATTAAAACAGAAATAAGGATCAAGGAGCCTTAGAGTAGGTCGCGTTTTAAGTGGACTACGCAAGTGTGCATTTTCTTCTATCGTTTTTTAGCATACCAGTTTACATATTTACAGGTAACACCAAGTCGAATCCCTTGTTTCCATTTCGCAGTATCCAAACTATAAAGCATATTAAAACGCCAATAAAAGTGAAACAATTTTGTTGTATAGATATGGTAATCTTGATAAATTCGTTAGTCAAATTTGATCATACTCACCTTTCAGTGTTGATACACCCGTTACCCCCATATCTGAGTTACCATAAACGAACTTTGTATATGCTGGTTCGAGAGAATTTCCGACTGTTTCACTATACAGCGCACCATTCACGGAGGGTAAGGTAGAAACAATTGGAAGGCTGTCAGTTGCCGTGGATGATGCAGGTGGCTGGTCAGCACTGGAAGTCGAGGGAGCGCCCCACCCACCCCCACCCGCGGGAACAAGAGAAACTCGACTGTCCAGACCGCCTGTTTCAGCCTTGATACTGGGGACCCAAGCTGGTGGGGGTAATCGGCGCGTTCCCTGCAACTTTCCAACAACTTGCATCCCATATTGTCGCACAGCTAAGTAAATTGAAAAAACAAATATTTGTTTACACAAATAAGCTGCCGTCTGAACTTGACAAGTTTGACCGAAATAAACAAGATTCCTACACACGCTTGATATTAAACGACTGTGAGCAAACATATTGCTATACTAAGGTAGATTGACAAAGTGCAGATATCAAAGAGTATTCGTCTTATTATCGTGATTTGATTCAGGTCATGCTATGTATGAGTCCCAGCAACCGAATCTTATAATCCTAATCACACTACTCGTGGTTTCCGTAAACTGATATCACAACCCAACTGTCACTAAAACTAATCCTACTTTAAGCATCGCCGCAAATTGGTGCAGTAAACAACACTTGCTCCGATCCTCCGATCCTTCTCTCACCACTAACGGACACTCCAAGGAGTAAACATTAAACGTCAGTCAGTCAGTAACAACGTAGAACTTCGTACGTACGTACATCAGTTCGAGTTGCCACACCACATTAGCACAGAGATGCAGTTGTCGATTCAAATCCCGTAGTGGTAGAGGTAATAAGAGTATAAGCAGTAATCGGGAAGATTAGGGTTTGGAGATGTTATTTAAAGAGTATAATCCAGTGAAATAAATTTGGAAAGAGGAAAAAAGGGACATGAAGGATTCAGAAGATTAGAATTTGGGAGAACACAGAGAGTGGATGCACCTGCGCCATTGCAAACGATTTTGAGCCATGTCATTCAGGGTCTCTAACCATCGGTTGCTATCATCTCGCGGTCCCCAACCAGGTAGTCTACACCTACCAACATGACTCAGTTCACTTGTCAGTGACTTCATGGACTTGTGCCATGTTTTGGTTTGGCCGCCCCTAGCTTTCTTCCAACCTACTCCTATACCACTGAACATAGCACGTCGAGGCAGTCGGTCGTTGGGCATACGTAACACGTGTCCCAGCCATCTCAACTGATGAAGTTTCACTACGTCATCAATTGATTTGCCATCCTTACCTAGTACCCGTTTCCTAACAACTGTTACTTACTCGATGGTCCCATGATATACGAGCAATGTTTCGAAGACACCTATGATCAAATACTAGTAACCTACGGATATCCTCTACTCTTACCGGCCATGTTTCACTGCCATAAAGTAGGACGGAACGAACTGCTGCGCAGTAAACCCGTCCTTTGGTTGATAGACGGATATCTCGCCTACGCCATAAATGACGCAAGTTGGCAAAAGCTAGTCGAGCCTTCTGTATCCGTGCTGAGATTTCGTCACACACCAAACCACAAGGGCTGATGAGACTTCCAAGATAAGTGAAGCGGTCGACACACTCAACTACTTCACTCCCTATCACTAGTTCGGGTGTCGATGTAACCCAATCCTGAAGCAACATTTTGCATTTCGAGGGAGAGAATCGCATCCCGAACATGCTTGCATTGTTGCTTAGAGTGGTCAGAAGACTCTGCATTTTGTCAGCGTCTTCACCAAATAAAACTATGTCATCAGCATATTCTAAGTCAACAAGTGAACCTCCCGGTAGAAGTTCAACCCCTGGAAATTTAGATGAGGAGAGTGTTATCTCTAAAAGTACGTCGACCACAAAGTTGAACAAGAATGGGGAGAGTGGACAGCCCTGACGAACACCACTTGAGGTAATCAATTCTGATGACAGTTCGCCATAAGCTCTCACTCGACCAGTTGTGTTCGAGTAGAGAGCCTTTATAAGGTTAATGTACTTCTTTGGTACTCCTTTCAGTGACAAACACTGCCATAGAACCTCACGATCAACAGAGTCGAATGCCGCCTTAAGGTCGAGAAATACTACCATTGTGGGGCGTCTGAATGTGTGTCTGTGTTCTAGAACCTGACGTAGTGTGAATATCTGATCTATACAACCACGTCCAGGTCGAAAACCAGCCTGGTTTTCTCTAGTCTGCTCTTCACGAGCTTTGTTAGGCGTCGAAGTATTATTGAAGCTAATATTTTAGACACTATATTAGTCAAACTGATTCCTCTGTGATTGTCACAAGAGGACTTTTGTCCTTTCTTATAGACTGGCACAATCAGTGATTGAGACCAGTCAGATGGGATTACGTCCAGTTCCCAAATTCTACCTAAGACCTCAGTTAATCTCATTGCTAATACTGGACCACCATCCTTAAAAATCTCAGGAGTAAACCTGTCAGGGCCTGCTGCTCTCCCTCGTTTCAGATTTCCTATGGCTTTTTCAACTTCGTAAAGGGACGGAGGACCTACATTAACTTGCCATTCAGGTTGACTGGAGATCGTGGGAAACCGAAGTGTGGCTGAAGGCCAGTTGAACTGATCCCTAAAGTGTTCTGCCCATCGATCCAATCTCCTGGATTGAGAATGAATAATATGTCCATCTTTCTCTGAGATTGTTTCGCTAACGGTCGGGTTCCTAATTCCGGTTTCCTTAACGAGTCTGAACAATTGTCTGCTATTACCTATTGCCGCTGCCTTTTCCATCTCTCTTGCTTTCGCTACCCACCACTGTTCGCGATCATTGCGTAGACTTCTTGTCAGCTTGCGCTTAAGCTGACTCCGCTCTTCATTATGTTCAGAGCCAGGTGGAATGAGTTTCCGAGCATCTATCAGTGCGATAGATGCTGCTGAGATCCAGTGTTGCTCCCTAACCTTCTGGTTTACCTTACTAGCAGATATCACTGCTGTTTCCACAGCTTTTCGGATATCATTCCATGCTGCATCGGGGTGGGCATCACATACATGGCTGCCTAACTGTTTTCCTAGTTGTTCCTGAAATATACTCTTAGCTTGACTATCATTAAGTAGGCCCTAAGAGGTTTCCTTGCAGCGTCTTTCCTACGTCCAGTAAGACGCAAGCAAATACGCGCTCGCACTAGAGCATGATCTGAATCTAGGCATGTGCTCCAGAATGAGCGACAGTCTTCTATCGAGCCCCTCCATCGGTGGCTGATAGCGATGTGATCTATTTGGGTCCAACGTTGGGACGAATTAGGGGGTCGCCATGTTAAAAGATGTTTTTCCTTATGCTTAAAGTTAGTATTTGCAAGGAACAGGCGGTTATCTGAGCATAGCTGCAACAGACGGTCGCCATTATCTGTTCTTTGAGCCACGACACCATAAGATCCACCTAGGTGTCTTTCCCTATCGCTTAGTTTACCTACTTGAGCATTAAAGTCACCGGCCACTATTACTACATCCGAGCGCCTAGCTTTTCGGAGAAGGTCCGAAAGCTTTCTGTAAAACTCATCTTTTACATCATCTGAGCTGCAGTCAGTGGGAGAATAGGCAGAGACGACGAAGAGGCAACGACGAGTGTCCCTATCTTTCCGGATTCTTACTGTTCCGTTCAGTCGGACAGCGCACAAACGACTGTCTACTGGGATCCACTCTAAGAGAGCTAGTTCTGCCCTAGGACTCAATGCTATACCTACGCCGGCGAGGCCACGGGAAGCAGAATCAGGGCTTCCAGATACACGAAGCGTAAATCGAGTCGGTTCTTTATTTTGGCATGGTGAGGTCAAATGAATGACGCTACTCGGATCCTGTATGCGCGTTTCGGAGACGCAGCACACATCGATGGCGCGAGATTCTAAAGTTTTAGCTAAGGAAGCCTGCTGTCCTATTTGGCAAAGTGTTCGTACGTTAAAAGCTCCTACGTGTAGTTTAGAGCGTGGTTTCAGGAGACCAGGAATGGCGTTCCACGTACTCGAATCGTTTGCCCTAGCGGTGCGAGGTGATAAAGAGACGTGAGGAGGGTTAGTCATGGAGATAAGAGAGGTATTAGGAGGTGTAGGAAGGATTTGAATGTGACCACCTTGGTCTCTTGTGCTGTTACGGGTATGAGGGCTGATGTCACTTCCCGGCTGCCCACACCGTGGAAGGGTATTTCTTGAGGAACCTGAAAAGGAAATTGGATTAGTGTTGGTCTTGACGACCTGGGAGCGTGACCGCAGAGCCCAAGGGACAACTGCTTGAGGCCGGTCGCGCACGGCCTTTTTGTGGAAGGTTTTTGACGTGTTAGCTCCGTTCTTCAAAGGGCCTTACCGCCGGAGACGGAAATCCGTGAGGTAAGGTGAGGTGTGACATTTTTAGGGTCGACCTTTTCTAACCCCACCCCTCCTTGTGGGAAGGCAGCATCGCTGTCATGCTGGTTGTCCGAAGGAAACACCTTACTGCTGTCACATCCCTCTACAGTCAGCAGTACGACTTCGCCTTCAGACCTTGGGTTTGTTGCTTTTAGTCTTACCGCTCACCTGTCTGACATGGTAGGACCTTGAGGAACAGTTGTTCCAGCCAATATAGCTCGGTTGCTTCATCACGATAGGCAAGCCCGACCACCACGTCAAGGTAGCAACAACGTCAACTCAACGATGTTACTAAAGAGCAATGTTTGAGAAGCAAGGTTCATATTCGTAATTAGGACCTTTTTGAAACTCGGGAAGACAGACATTTTGAAGCTGTTAAATCAACTGGTCTTTCACGTTGTTAGCACAACCACACACCAATAAAGGTAAATTGTTTGACACAATTTTGTAGCAAGAATAAGTAAGCACTTACGACTTAAAGTGCGGATATATGTATTAACCTTCATTCGTCATTTCATCCTATGAAACCTGCAAAGGGCTGGCTTCTGTTGGTCCTTCACGATTCCCTGGTTAGGGTAGGGTACGAGAGATGGTTCAACACTGGCTAGAGACGTTATCAGTTATGACTCAGAATAAAGGCCAGTGACGATCTTGCTGTAACCTCTTACTTTCTTTATAAAAAGTGGTTGTATCTTCCTTAACTGAAAGAATTCTTCTGATTGCAACTTTCCGTCTCCCCCATTATTATTAGTACCACACTACTTTACGCTAATCTTTTCTTTTCTTCATACGCAACTTACTTTCTTTTTTCTCTTTCCATTCTTATTGTTTTGTGTGGTGCATATATATCTGGTTCCCCCTTGTACCAATATTTATGTTTTTAAATAAATAATTAACCTTCAATCCACACTATACATGGATTTGGGACGACGGAAGTTCACTAAAGAGTGGATTAAAATTCGGAACTATTATAACACTCGAAATAATGGTGAAGTTTGGAGGTTTATTGGTCATTCGATTTGAACTAGGTACTGAGATCTTTTTTAACATACCTGGAGTAATGTATCGGAAAGTGATTCAGATTCTCCCGATGTAGACAAGCAGACTGCAATGCGGTCGGGTACTAAAAAGCTTGTACATCTGATGCAACGAAGCTCCAGTATACTAACATCTCAAGAACGGAGGATAACCCGCAAAAAGTAATATACCATGAAGCTGTTTTAACTGGAAGTAGGTAGATATAAGTCTTGCTTGGTAGGCACAGGAGTTGCGTAACGCTTCCTAACCAGCATATTAAATTCTGAAGGCTTACTTCCTTCATGTCCGACAATCACTAAATACTCACTAACACGTGGACGTGCTAACCCGATTACAACGCAGAAACCGAAGGTGGTAGATGCATTACAACCCACAGCAAGAGCAGCATTTGAGGCAATAACTCGGGTTAATCTCATCTAAAAGACCAAAATACGACTAAACCCAATAAAGTTAGAATCACTCTCAAAACACAATGAAGTCAGAAATGCCTTACACTCAGTCAAGGTAGTCCGTGTTACTAAAGCTACAGAAATCGATAGAAAAAAGGCCAAGTTGTTTTGATGATCTAATGACATTGAAACTTGTAACTGGCACCAAAAAAACACAAAAGCGTTCCTGTACGAACATAGCACGTCTTATTCGCAAGAAAAAAACTAAACAAAAAGGTTTCCCCGATTAGAGTAGAAAACCGTAAGCAATTCTGTATGTAAATAGTCGGACATACGACAGGTGCTAGTAGGATATATAAAATCTTACTTGGTTTATGTTGAGGTTCTGTAGTATTTCCTTTGTAAACATGATTAATATTTGACTGAGCAAACTTCACTTTTGTCTTTTCAGACTTGACTTTTGAACTCATTCTGTAATGCCAGCATTGGCTTCTGGAACCAGCTGGTTTTATGACACAAGTTTAAAGAAGGACCGCTAAAAGTGTATGAAACAAAAAACAATTAAAATCTGGTACAAATGCAGATCAGGAGAAAGCGAGTAGCACATATATTAGGGAACGACATGCAACATACATCAAAAGCCGCCCTAACAACAATGGTGAACGAAAGCTTAGCTCTTAAAAACAAACAAATTCCAATACTAAGCGCCAATGATCAACATGTTCAGTTTTCAGTATTAAAAAGAGAAAATCATTCAAAGTATGTTAATTCCAGCACTTCTTCAAACCTGATAGATGCGAATTTGCCTTGGCTAAAAAGTGGTACCTGGGAACACTCTGGCAAAGGAAACCCAAACCAATTCTATCGGCGCGCTTTTCGAACGGGAGGACTAGTTCAAACGTGATTGGCATTTCTCAAACTTTCGCTGTGTTCTTATGCAACAAAAGTATCATTCCTGACCTAAGGAATCTATTCTGAGCTGTACATTCAGTAAATTACTTTTCTTTTTGAGTTTTACCCAACTTAATGATGAACTGCGGTTCTTTTTGCCTCAGCTTACTAATCGTTTTTTTTTAGTTTTTCACGTAGAGGCTAGTTTCAGTTTGTCCTAACACGTCTTTTTACATTTTCGCCCTTTTTAGTTTACTGTTTTTCTTAAGATCTTAATGTTTTGCCAGCACTCATAAAACAGTTTATGTCAATATAGTCATGAAAAATCCATGCAAACAACCTGGATGCCGTTTTGCCGTTACATCTGACATGCAGTGTGACAGCTGCAAAGGTTGGTCCCATGAAGCGTGCACAGATCTCACAGCAACTGCTTACAATAGACCCAGTAAGTCGGACCATAGGTGGATATGTGTCATATGCAACACGGATGCGGAAGTTTTGCTGAGTAACATCATCGTCCTGTTGACAGGTCTGCGGAATAAGTTGTCAGCAAACTCGGAAAAAGACAGTCATAAAACTAGTAGACAAACAAGGACGCTCAATGAAAGCAAGAAGAGAGATCTTGACAGCGCTACTATCGATGGAGCATGCATTAGTACTAGTGATGATATGCTGAAACTCAGCATCATTACGTCGACGGTAATAGACTCCCTCAGCAGATTTGGGTCTGCCAGTGAAGAATCCCTGAATGCAACAGTGGTTCCAGAACCTCTGTGGGTGATTGGACCTCCGTTAACAGAGTTAAAAAACATCAGGCGTCACCGTCCACGAAGCTGAACTTCCCATGTATTGTAGGGAAATCAACTAATCATCAAGGAGCCTAGAAATCGGAAATGCGCTTCGACCTCCAAGTAACAAGATCCTCAACCTGAATGCTATAGAAACTCATATGCAATTGAGTTTTTTATCATTTAATTCAGTTAAGCCCTTTTATTAACTTATTTAGCGGACAATGTCATCCGTACAATAACAACTCTCTGCCTTCTGATTTCAAACACCGTTGAGGATTATATGATAACGGTTACGAGGGTGATTGGTTAACGAAGCACAGCCACCATAATGCAGCCATAAACCCGGGAAAACAACAACAGTTCGTGACGATTTTTTCATAATCATGAACCTTAAAGACAGCCCTGACTTCCCCTCAGTTTGCAGGACAAACATGTCAGGATGCTCTAAAGAAAGTTAAATATTAGGCCCGAACTTTCCAGAATAAGGCCTTTGACGGTCACACGGCTCACTCGCGGAAATGACTCTAAGAATCGAAATCACCCGAGGCTACTTCGTGTAACTCTAATTAGACCGACGTAGAAGATATCCTGACGGCTAGTCGCCTACTGAAATATGATGGGAACGTAAGAATACTGCCTGACATACTGTATTCTGATCGCAATCTCAACCGGAACGTCCCTAACGAATCCTGCGAGAAATTTTTCCGCGGAAGAAATATCATTGGGCAAGGTGTGTCGGAAATCACAAACCCTGGTCAAACAAACTCTGATATTAGGGAATGGAAATTCATCAATCAATCCATGAAGCTTAAAAACATACTGACTCAAAATGTGACGGGAGTAGCCAACAAGGACAGGGATTCTAGAACACAGCTAATAAACAGAACTTTCCCAACCTCCCATTACTCTTTCTCCTTTTATCAATTATGTGTGTTCCCTCTTTTAGTATGGTAAGCCTTTCCTTTTTGCTGATGACCTGAAAGTAGTTTATTCATTCTCTTCTCCCACGAAAGAAAGCTATATGTCAGCGGTAATCCAAGAGGCAATAAACAAGTTGTACGAATGGACTATTTCGTGGAATATGCCACTTAATGTTGACAAAAGTGGATTTATTCACATTGGCCGCTGTCTTAACTTAAATCTGACTGTACAGACACATACACTCAAACCTCTCAACACTGTTCGTGACCTGGGTTTAAGATATAGCAACAGTCTGAACTTTTCTGAACACATTATATCTCAAGTATCCAAAGCTAGAAAGCTCATCGGATTGATAATGATAAACTTCAATAATATCGAATCGAGATTGTTACTATACAGAAAATTCATCTTACCCATTCTCGAATATGGTATTTTAGTTTACAGTAATTGTAGACATAATGACCTGATTAGAATTGAAGGTGTTCAAAGAAAGTTCACCAAAGCTGTTCTGGGGTATTCCGATAACAAAGACCATTACCAAAGATGTCAACAACTCAACTTAGAGCCTCTTTGGATCAGACGTATCAAATTAAATCTTGTCTTTATCTACCGGCTTATTAACGGTATTTCCTACTCTTCGGTATCCACCCCTTCATACCTTATGATATCATCCCACAATCTACGCAATAAGGAGAATATTCTAGCGATTCCAAGAACCTACACAAACGTCAGAATTTTTTCCTTATTCGCTACTCAACCATGTGGAACAGACTGCCAGTGAACCTCCGTTGCAGTGAAACTACAACCCGGTTCAGAAGTCTCCTTGAAGATTTTCTTTCCGAAAGTGGATTATGTCACCTATTGAATATCAATGTATTCAATAATGATTTATACAAACAAGGTCCGTCATCCATTTAATTGCTTGAAAAGCAAAATAAAACCTTTAAATCTTTCCACGTCTATTTTATTTTATTTCTATTTATCTTAATATATGAAGTCTCCTTATGCTCGTGTTTATCATTATTACCGTTATTAATATCATTATTAGTTCCCCGACACATCAGATCTTCTTTTTATCTCTTCTTATCCTTTTAAACATGTTTAACTCCAGATTGTCCTTTGAAATCAATTTCGACTTTCATAGCATCAATCTTAATTATTATTGCACAAATATTTATACTAATATCCGGCTTCACTCTGTATACTATTACATAAATCTAAATGTATTCATCCGAGTGCTTTAACGGATTTTTCTTTTATTTTTCTAAATTGTTGGTTTTCTTCTGAGGTTGATATTCATTACGCAATTATTATTCTTATCATGGATCAAAACTTTTCACTAAGTGTTCACTTCTTTTCTCTCATCTTTCCCTCTAACTAAATATTATTCTTAAGATTACGAGGCTTGTAATTAAGACAATAACTTGTGTTACACTTAAATTAACTTCTCACACTCTTTTTATGTTCACTATGCATATATAACTCATACATATTGATATTTCATTATCCTTTTCATTTAATTGTAACTTTCATAGCATCACTCTAAACTATAACTGCACAAACATTTATTCTAGCGTCATATCTTACTGCAATTATAAGTTATTTTTCTTAATTATTTTTTGTTACTAATTTAACGATACACACATAGTAGTTTATTCTCGTTCTGTGTTCGTAAACACGCCTATTAGAATGTTTGCGTACTTCACGTCTCCTTTATTTCTATTCCCTTATTTTCTCCATTTCCTTCTTTAGACTCAATTCAATATTGTCAATTACGCACACTCGATTTATTATTATTAATATTCTACTATTATTGCTCAAAATGAATTTTTTTTAAATGGCAAGTAGAATGCTGACATTATTGAAAATTGTGTATTATTGCATTTTTTTGAAGAAACCCGAAATGGTTTTTTCACAACACTTATGTAACCATAAGATGTTTGTGAATAATAATAATCATACACTCACATCGACACGTGCCCCAGCTATACTAATGCTGTCGAGGACACTTTGCTTTACTGTCACAACGCTCGGTTTTACTTCGTCTACACATATGGAACGTTAATTTACCTTGGAAGAATATCTACACTAAATTCCCTCCCAGTGTTTATTCAACAAGACTTTAGCACACCTCAAATCACGAACACGTGACTAGCATTGGTAGAACGTAAATATGTTTTCCTACCGAAACCTGACACAATCCAAGAACAATGAGCAATCCATAACAAATTATAATGAGGATAGGAGAATACATAACTCATCTAACACCTGTCAGACTAACTACATGTCTGACTAAGCAAACAACCAATCATTATTATTCTCGTCATTAAATTTACTGAGCGTCTTTCTTTTTTATCCATTTCAGAACTACCTTTTTTCACGATTTCGGACAATCATTTCAACAAGACCTGTCCGAAGAATGATCTTGATGCTGAGCAAAGCCTCAGCATTTTATTAGATATGCCGCATACCCACCTGCGATCTGACTTACTGAGTTTGTTGTAAGCAGCTACTGTGAAATCTGTGCATGCTTCGTGCAAACGACCTTTGCATTTGTCTCACGGTATACCATAGGTGAAAGCAAAACGACATCCAGGTCGCCTAAATGATTCTTTCATAAATATGGTGATGTTAGTTGTTGAAGAGATCCTAACGACTTTGCGACCGTAAGACAATGTTGTAACGGGTGGACTGCAGGTTTTCATAAGCAGCGTTTATCAGTCGATTACAGTGACACGGAAAATACGTAGTGAACGACCCAGTGCCCTGATTGGTCCCGCTTCCCTGTCTAGCCCAGCCAGTTGAGTCTACAACGCAAGTCACAGCCTCTGAGTTATGAATCATTATATTTCAGACATACTCTATTT